GGAGTGGTGAATCATTATGACTTTGCGTCCGAAAGTGAGGAGGAACTTCTGTCTTTATTCAAGAGTCAGAGTAACGGAGGTGTGTAGGATCAAGAGGAGGAGCATGCGCGCTGCGATGGTGCAACGGTTGTACCCAAGTTGGCGGGTTCAGACCCGATCGAAGACGTGGATTTTTAAGGGCGAAAAATCCTTCGTACGCCTTCCTTCGGAGGGGAAGTAAAGTCGGCTGTCCCATGTTGCATGCATCCTCAAGCCAAAATGACGCTTCTGAGCTAAATTCAAATCGCCTGTTTCGCGCCCAAGAAATACCTCCTTTCTCTGCTAGTTGGTGGAAGGAGCGTAGCGACATTTCCGTGGTCAGACGGAAGAGCAGGCATAATGTCCTGAGTTTCGCCACGTAAAATAAGGCATTAATTCAATTCAATTCACGAGAGATCCATACTCCCACTCTTATCCTGACGTTTAATATCCCTCCTCTCCCAGAGAGGATTAGTAGTGGTTTTTATAATCGCCATGTGCAGCAGTATGTGCCGTATCCCCTGCATTGCTTCCAGTGTCAGAAGTTCGCCAATATCCAAGAGTGGTTCATGGCCACCCACGATACGGAGCCGTGTGCCTCCCCACTTCGCTGTGTTAACTGCGAAGGACACCACGAGGCCAATTCAAATAGGTGCCCAACCTATCTGAGGGAGAGGGAGATCCAAATGATCCGAGTGGCGGAGAAGGTATCCTTTCATGAGGCGAAACGCCGATACTTCGCGAAGAACCCTGTAGATCTTGGGCGTTCTTTTTCTAGTACTTTGTCCAAGACGGCAAAAGCAACAGCGAGTTGTCAGTTGTCATCTGCTACTCCCTCAGTTGCTCATTGCTGTTACCAGATGCCTCCAGTAGACTTCGCCTCTGTAAAGCGGGAAGATAATCCATCCAAATATAAATTGTCGAAGAAAACCGCACAGGCGAAGTCGGGCTTAGAATTCACTTCTCCGCCCTAGATGAAGGCCAATGTCTCTCGACCTTTTGGCCCAGACAAACTTAAAAAATATCGTTCCTTCAAACTCCGACCACCTACCCCGACCCCCGAGGCTCGCTCTGAGTGATCTCGTAGCACCCCGAGCAGTGCCCAGGAGGAATCTGCGTCGGAGATTCTTAGAGAACTTAGATGGAAAGGACAGTCGCCCCTTTGGGTAATAGAGGCATAAACGGAAAGAGGGGAAGAAAAATCCCTTTATAAGTAAGAAACGTATCATCCAAAAGTTATGGCTCTCCTCTGGTGGAAACTGAATGGCTTTCGCACCCGTTTAGATGAATTAAAGCTGATAACGTCTCTTCAGAGACCCGCTGTCATCTGCCTGCAGGAAACATCATCTTCCCGAGCATTCCCTCTCTCCGTGGCTTTTGCTGCTATATGCAAGACATTGATGATGGCCTCTGGGCATCTGATGATGGCGGAGTCGTTACATTAGTCACAGACTCTCTGGTATCCAAAGAAATAGACGTACGAACCACTCTTCAGACATCTGGAGTTCATGTGAACTTCCGCACTATATCAATAACTTTTTGCAACGTCTATATCCCGACTGGCCAAGTTGTGTCGCAAGAGAAACTTAAAGATATGTTATCTCCCTGTATGTTATTGTGGGGGACTTGAATGTTCACAATCCCGCCTGGGGCAGCACTAGGACCTGCTCGAGAGGCAATATACTTGTAAGTAATATTGACAACCAGAACTAAATTCTTCTGAATACTGGCGAAAGCATACATTTCTCTGTTGCTTCAAACACTTTCTCGTCCATCAGTCTATCTCTGTTGTCCATCTCTACCATCAATGAGTGGACTATTCTTGGCGACCTACATGGCAGTGACCACTTCCCCATTCTGGGATTCTCCATGGATGAAATTTTCCTGTGCTCTCGCTTGTGCAATAGATTCTGCTCCAGAACTAGACCAGATACATAATCAAATGCTTAAACACCTACCGGAAAATGCTCGTTCTTTTTTCCTCCACATTTTGAAAATGGGCTTGATTTGGGATAAACATTCTTTACCAAGGATTTGGCCTGAAGCCCTTGTTATTCCAATCCCTAAAGAAGGAAAGGACAGAACAATCCCTTCAAGTTACCGCCCAATATCGCTCATAGGCTGTATGTGTAAGCTTTTAGAACGAATAGTAAACAAATGTCTGGTCTGGCTCCCAGAGCAAACGAATCTATTTACATCTTTTCAGTGTGGTTTCAGGAAGCCCAGGTCAACCATGGACCACTTAGTCTGCCTTTCTTTCGTGCCTACGACAACACATGGTAGCAATTTTTTTCGACATAGAGAAAGGGAACCCCCACCTGCAGGTACGGCATTCTTGGCACCTTGCATTCTTGAGGCGTGAGGGGACGGTTCCCTTCGCTTCTAGTATATTTTCTTTTGTCACGTTCTTCCCGCGTCCGATTTGGTGAGATGTTATCCTAAGTCCCCAGTTAGAAAACAATGTTCCCCAGGGATCAATTCTGAGTTTCACTCTGTTTGCCGTTGCTATCAATAGTATCGCATCAGTAATTCGAGACCCTGTGAAAGCATCGCTTTTCGTTGACGACTTTGGTATATTCTGCTCCTCGAAGAGCATGCAAGTTATTGAGAGTCAGTTACAGCTTGTCCTCAACAAATTGCAAGAATGGAGCGATAAAACTGGATTCAAGTTCTCCCCCTCAAAATCCAGCTGTATGCACTTCTTCAGAATATATCACCTCCATAATCATCCTGATTTGTTTTGGGGGTCATCAACTTCCTTTCGTCGAATCTGCCACTTTCCTTGGCATGACATTCGACAAGAGTTTAACATGACGAAAGCACATTCAAAACTCCAAGAGATGCTGTGTATATCCATTGAACCTTCTTCGCACCCTTACTGGTAGATCATGGGGCGAGACAAAGTATGTCTTTTGCGCCTGTATAGGACTATCATCCGTCCATTGTTGGATTGGACCATCTCCATCGACCTTGCGTTCATTGAATACCATTCACAATGCCGGTATACAGATCAGCACAGGCACCTACCGCACGAGTCGCATTGAATGCCTCTCGACCGAGGCTGGTGAACCTCCACTTAGCCGTTGGCGAGATATTGTAATCGGCTCCTACGGTGCGAAAGTATCAGCCATAAATACGCCTTTGCGTCAAGCAGTTCTTCACCCAAGTCATTCACCCACATTTCCCTCGCGGCATCGCAAACCACCAACAACTCTCGAATCCAAGGTCTTCACTAAAATATGAGCAGCCGCCCGATCTGCTTGGTTCCAATTTTTTAAAACCGCCGTGTATCTCGCCAGCTCCGTGACACTTGCAGTCTCCAAATTGGCTGGGGTTTCTTCAACTCCCCAGTACATACCTCATATGCTCCTTCAACTGTGCGCAATAAATTCCCCGACGTGAATTTCCACGTAGCCCAATTGTCCTTCCCGGTCAACTTCTCAATTTCGCGAAGAACCTCTGTAGCGATCACCGGAAAAAATCTCAGTCCACTCGACAGATTTCTGCCCACGCCGAAACGCGATTACCCGAGAGCGAAGTGACGCGACAATTATAGCCGACCACGTGACGAAAAAATTCACTCCATAGCTTTTCTCCTTTACACTGAACCACACTCTTGCTACCATGTTCTTCGGGAAGTAAAATGAGGACACAAACAATGATTTTAGTCATAATTCATTAAGAAACTGAAAGATTACATTAGCACAAAAGATAACTTTGGTAGAATAACACGTTTACTTGGTACGTCTCGCGACTAACTGACTCTTGTCCTTGCGCGAAGAGAAAACAAGAACGAGAGTGCCCATCTAGTATTGTCATTCGACAATACTTTTACAATTTTCCAAAAATGCGGGATTTCAATGAACATGAGACCTCCACCATTCTCTTAGCGTCATTACGCTATCTAAGGACAGTTTAATAAAAAAAATGGAGCCATTTTTGAGAAAATTTTGAAAATGATGCTTCATGTAAAAGTACCCAGGAAAATCAAAGTATCCGGTTGAAACTCACAAAGCCTGGAGATCGTTCAGATCGATCAGGGAATATCAATTTTAGCAGAAAATCGGCAGAACTTTTTATTTCACACAACGGCCTCACCACAAGTTACAGAAAGTAATTTACTACATATTGCAACAGAATTTCTTCACTTTCTGATTACCGGGGCCCGGGAATAAGTTTTCAGACGAAAATTCGCCGCTTCCCGGCGCACGATCACAATACTTTCTCTTCTAAGTAGGCCTACGTACGAGAAAGTAAAAAGGGTGATAAGTGTCATAAAATGAAAATCAAGACGGTGGAAATGGAGAAAGGAACACGTGAGAACATTTTTCTCACCCCCCCCTCTCGTTACGACGTGGATAGACCCAGCTCGATCGGTCTCTTATTCTGATCCGCTGTGCTCCCTTCTGATCTCGCCGACTATGTACCTACCTCTGCATCACTTAGTGATAACCTGGTCCCAACATTCACAGAGCTGGTTTCGTACAATTAACGTTGCTATGGGTAGCTGGAAACAATATGTATTGTTGCATACTTCCAGTTAACTTCTTTCAACACTAATTACTCTAAGTACAATTGCTTCATCTAAATAAAGGATTTAGGACATTTTATTGGTTTATTGTTTATAATTTCAAATTACTTGGTACATTTTTTAAGTTTGTCCAAGAACTGAAAGAATGCATTTGAAATTTACTTTTGATTTGAATGCCAGATAATTTTTTTTTTTTAAAAAAAAGGTGAAAATGAGTAAGTTATGCCTAACGAGTGTTTTAAAACAAAAGTATTGAAATTAGCTTAGCAGTTTAGAGATTGAGGAATATTGCTTAATTATTCATTGCAACACAATCTAGAATATTTTAACAGTGCATTAAAAGTTGAGCATACATGAAATACTTTCAAGGATTGTTTCGAAAAAGAAATTTACGTCAAATTTCTTGCTTGGCCAAGAGCAAGTAGGGTACTGCACTGGGTTGATGTCAGGTATTTGGGAACAAGGATGTATGAACTAATGCTATAAATATCACAAGGAACTTATCACAGGCATCCTGCCTTGTTTTTATTGAACACACAAATCACAAGTGAAATGAGATCCACAGAACACATCGAAGCTCATTACAGTTTCACACAATTTATAATATACTTGAGGCACACAGGAATATTTATAGGGCAAATAAACTAAGATGTGGCAACTAAGCAACTGGTACAATGCTAATCCAATTGCTTAAATTTAGTTAAATTTTGAATTGTAGCAACCTTAAATATCTTCTCTATTACATATCAAAAGTTTCAATTCCAGAGATTAGGAATGAAGGGGTAGCTGGTAAGCTAGTCATTTTATTGCTGGTATAATCCAGTAAGAAGCTATTAAACTTTTCTCGTGAAGGGCTTCCATTCGTGATATGTTACTTCCCAATGATGTAAGTACATACAAATATACCCCTGAGTATTGCTATGCAATATGGAAACTTACTGTATCCTTGAAGTATCTGACATACCATAAACTAAATCAGAAGTGAATTTCAGCTGTCAGTTTTCATTGTACACAAGTCTTTGGTCTCAATCATGTTAGAGTAAAATATTACTACCTCCATTCTGCACTATCAAAATCTTATCACAGTTCACAATGTTTTATTAATTTTGCCTCCCTTTGCACAGCTCCACTAAAAAAAAAGCCTCAAAAAGTTCAGTCTACAAATTGTTCCCATTTTTATTATGAACATCAATACCAATGTTGAGCAAGAAAGCAGAACTAACATTTATGTTCAAAAGCCTAGTAACCTCAACTGCAGCAGGAAATAATTTTGTCTTTTTTATTCATCTTAAGCACATTGTGAGGCTTGAAGCTTAAATAAACCTTCCAAATTTCAAATGAAATGCTAGAATAAAATTAAGCAGCAGTCAAAGCTACAACAGTGAAATGAAGTTCGTCAGGATCACGAGCCATGTACTCCTTGCAGATCTTTGCAGCATCCTGCAAAATAAAGCCATCTATAATGCTCATCAACACATGCTAAAAGTAGAAAAGGTTGTGTGTTAAAACCACAGAACTGGTGTGATAGATCCTATCATACCTGGAGAAAAGAATCTTCTGAAGTTGATCCATGATTCACAGGGAAAGATTTTCGTCCATCTACAAAAACAAAAATATTTTAAATGCCTATTGGCTCTGCATTTTTGTTAGTATATTTTAACAAATTTACTAAAAGTTTACCAAGTTCATAAAGATGTCCATCTTTCTGCACAAATGCAACAAAGTGATAATTCACTGGCTCATTTGGTTCAGGGGCCTACAAAACGATAGTTAATAAAAAATTAAAATTTAAACATCCTTTTTAAAGGATTTTGGTTTGTGTCTACTTTGCAATACCTCTGTCTGGCCTTCCAATGCCACTTCCTTATGGGCATTAATGATACCTTCAGCTTTTTCCAATATTTCACCTCTCTCCTCAGGTGTAAGAGTTTTTGCAGTATCTAAGAACTGTTTCAAATGACCATCTTTGAGCTCTATTCTGCAAAATAGAAGTCATAATGTTTCAACCAACCAACATTTCTACCAAATTATTTTACATAATTAGAGAATTTTCACTTTATACATACTTCTCAAGGTTATTTGCAACACTATGAACAAGAGCAATGGTTCCACAAGCATTTGTAACAATCTGCTTTACATAGAACACCTTGTCAGAAATAACTTGTCCTTTTTTAGCAATTTCAGCTTCTTGCTTGGTTTTGTGTTCGTCATACTGTAAATTTTCCAAATTCAAAATTTGTTTCAGAGAATCCATGAGTATGTACCGAAATTACCATGTTTTTTCAACTTACTTTATCAGAGCAGGGGAACAACAAGAGAACAGCTAGGACTGGTTGAGGAACAGTTGCCAGCAGATCAGGATCCAAGCCATATACATCAACAAGTTGAAACTTTTCTGGCATTCCCAAGCTGTACAAATACTGGAAAAAGATTATTCTCAATACCTTTTGAATACCAAATGCCTGGAATACTTTTAAAGGTGATGAAATTAAGATTTAAATTTTGGATGGAATGTGAATATTCTCATCTCTTCCCTTCTGAAGACCAAAAGCACTTGTCCCCTCACTTTCCCTACAAAAATAATTATTTCAAGTACAGGATATGCAAAGCTGGCAGAGCTAGTTATTTTCCAATGCCAACGATCTCAAAAGTAGAATCACTTCATTTTCTTCCCGTATGTCTCATTACCAATACCCTAAAAATCCCCTATACCCTAAATACCCTATTTATTTTCCAATAATTTCAATACTTTACTATACTATTACTACAAACTAACTATGCATGAAATTGTAAACTCTCAGGCCATACAGCTGATTTACATTGATAAGGTCTAAAGTAATCTTAATTCAAGTTTCACTATTATGAAGATTTTTGACAATCACAAGTAAGAAAGCAAGCCCCAGTTACCAATTAACAAGTGCCATTTAATACTCACAAAAATATTGACTCAATATTGCTTCAAATAGAATTATATAATATATAAACCATTACTACATTTATTAATATTCAATATTTTCTGATTCAAAATTTAAAACTTAATGCAACTTAAAATATTGAAAATAGTTTCAATTCTACAAAACAAAATACTCCTTTTAGTCAAAGTGCATTCCCTCTGTCACTTTATCCTTGGCCAAAACTTTTGCCAGCATCTCAAAGAGATGATTTACAACTTTTGCAATAGAATATCCAAGCAACACTACATATCATTTCAGAAGTTTGATAAAGTGAATGCCAAGTCTTAATCATTAAACTTTTAGAGCAATTTAAAATTACAATAAAGGAAAGCAAAATATTTCTAACAGAGCCTATTAAACTCCACAAACCTACAACCTTTAAGGCTTATTGATCAACAAATGTCCACTCAGACTTCCTTGCAAACCAGTACTTATGAACAGTCCGAATTGAACAAGGATTATTGGATCCCAAGTGAATACATTCAAGTGCAAAATAAGTATTTTGCACTTACCGCAGGTCAATTTTCCAAAAAATAATTTGAATTTCGTGTACATCTTTATTTCTTCCCATTAATCACAAATTCTATCAACTACCAATTAAAAACCCCATATATGATTTTCTTCACTTGCTGGATCTACAAACGTCAAATTTAAAGAAAACCTAAGTTTGGGCTCTCCTGAAACCTTTTCGACCCTTTGAAGCCCGGGTTCTACCCCTCCGTACATTCCAGAAGAAATCGATTGAAACAACTACGCAGCAGGCACGCCCGGAAATCCTTACCCATTAACGGACTTAATTACCAGAACAAACGTCGAAGATCAACCGTAACAAGATAGAGTAGTAAGGTTTCCTGACCGCTACCACTTGCGTAGACCACGAAAACCGAAGCAGTTTTTAATTGACGAACTCACCTTGTTCATCACCTGCAATCAAGAATGAAATAAGACAATGAAATAAATACACGTATATTTCATCTTTACGGATAATTCAACCTTAAATGCTCCTTTCAAAATTTACCTCAGGATTCGATTCCAAAGGTAACCACGCCATTTCTGCTGAAGGTCCCAACTACAAACTGAAAACAAAATTCTTTTATAAAAAAGCAATCATTAAATGACTTCTGGATACCTATATCGACATACTTCAACAGCTAGATCACCTTGGAGAAAACGCCGGCAGAAACTGTACGCACAAGCCGGTAGCGACAACAGCAGCCGTCACAGAAGAGCAACGATTACTAGCTTGAAGGTGGACTGACGCTCTGGAACGTACTGAACTGACGTTCCTGTCCGTTCCACTCGATTCCACCAAACACTCTCCAGCCACAAACAACGCATCACATTGGTGGATAGTCAATACCTCGTGTCTTATTGGTCACCGGTAGGAACCGGTTAGTCAAAATCAATAATAAAAATACCAGCTTCAGAAACTCGCAAATGTATTTACTTCCACGTTTCGCGAACGTTCGTGAAAATGAATCATCATGAACACAACTTAAAAAGATGATATGTAAGATATGACTTGCAATGATGATCTTCAATTAGATAATTTCAATACAATGCAGAATTCACTTACGCGGTTTGAAGAACAGTGTATTATCACAAACTGCATCAAAATAGTTAATTTCTTTCTAGAAACCGCACACGGTCACTATTACACCCCCCCAAATAGTAACCAGAAATCTTTTACTTTAAACGAATCAATCAGCCGATCATGAGTTGGAGGTAATTAAAATAACGATGTATGTAAGACTAAGAGGATGGGGTTTATTTTATTTCTTCGTTAATTGAAATGTTGCTGATATGAATTGAAAAGAACTAAAATGAATTTACATATATTAATAGTTAAGTAAATAATTTAAGATAATAGCTCTAACATTATATTTTTTTTAAAAAAAGGTCATGGAACTCAGTTTAAATTGCGCGGCACGTATACAGCTGAGTTCCGAGCTCAGTCGATTCATGCTATCAAATCCAAGACATCCAACTTCGAAACTGTCCTACTCGGCCCTACTCGAAGGCGAATGGCGAAATACAGGACATTCGGAAAACATGGCGGTTATCACTTGAGGTCATGGCGCTACGTCAATTCTTAGCGAATTTGTCAACTGTAAATCATAAGTTCGATGTCACCGACTAGAATATTGCAAGAGGTACGGACTGTTATTGATATCATAGATAGTAATAGTCTTCCTTTTCTAATATTGCTAGTTGTCACTTGAGATTGTATACAAGTCCCGCTGTTTGACAGGTTCACTATTCTTGACAATGAGGTTCAACAAGCAAGAATTAACCACTTTGGCGACTCAGCCTTCCCAGAAGTTTGACAAAGAAGGAGTACTCTTTCTTCGAGAAAGGCAAGAGGGATTTTTTCGGCGATCTGAGAGTGAGTGTTTATCTAATCTCTTAATTTTGCAAGTGAAAATGTAATTTGGAATGCAATCCTTTTATGAGTAGTTGACCTTTATGTGTTGCTTTAGAATAAATTAACTTGCTGTTTTGTTTTTTGTGACAGCAGTTTTCGTATATACAGCCTAGCTTAATTTTGGATTCGACCATAACAAAATTTTGACTTTAAAATGTTCAAATAAGTTGCAGCATTTGTTATGAAAATTTTGAAGTTTGCAACTTGTAGTCTCTGTATTTTAATTCCTTGAGGATAGAAGCAAAAATGTAAATGTTTGATAAATGAAAGGTTTGCAACTTATATTAATATTATTATGGATACATTTCATTGATGTGCATCTCCCTTGACACAGTCAGTGAACTATAAATTAAATTCAAAACAATAATTACGTGAATTTTTGTAATGATCAAGATGTTTAATTTTTCATATAATTGTGATAATTCATAGCATGTGAAATGGTTTTTTTCATTGTTAACTCCGTAAGGACTCCTTACTCTATACTTTAATTTTTTCTTTTTAATAAAATCTATGAATGGTACTACTCAAGTGGAGGATATTAAGATATATTTTCGTACTATCACATTAGAAATGTCTGATATATAGTATTTTTTTGTTTTGTTTTTGTGCTTTTTGATTTTCATTATCTAATTGATGTTATTTACCTGGAAAAATATCCTTCACTTGTGTCACAGGTGGATAGAACTATATTTTTTTTGTTGGAGTCAACCAGCCAAGAGATAGGAAATAAAATGCCCACTAATTTGTAGGGATAAATCTTACTCCTTCCTCATCTTCTGTAACCATTGAGTTACGTGTTTGTTGCAGTTGATCTGTTTGGCTTTAATCAATGTCCTCAGTGATGGCATGAACCATCCCTTACGTATGCTGTGCTAATGCACCTTTAAGGTGCTAGAAGCATGACCCATTTTTTATTACAAGTGTAGTTATGCATATTGTATTGTGCTTGTGTAAGTGACTATATACTTTGTTATGCTTGCCTCTCAGATGTCCATCTGTATAGATCTGAAATCAGATTTTGTAGTTGAAATAATTTATATCATTGTCATTCTTATTTTTTTACCCCAAAAGTTGAGGAATCATTTAGACATAACCTTTGTACTTCCTCTTTCAGGAAAATTTGAAAAATGCAGAATCTATGAAAAATATGGATTTTATTTAAAATTCTTTTTTCAGTTTACTATTTTCTGTGTTTGTAGGAGTGTTTCCTTTGTAGAATGTCTGTTCATGAGCCACCTGTAACTTCCTCCACTTCTCAACAGACCAGTACCTTCATGTTAAATAACATGGTGGTGGCAGAAACCATCTTGGTTGGTTGGTTGATTGGTACTACTGAACTCACATGCCCCTGGAAACTAAGGAAGACATTTAGATGACATAAAAACACAATAGATTCTTGGGTCTTGTAAACTTTCCAGGGAAAGACAGCAAAAGAGGGAAAAGATCTAAGAGTCTTCGAGAACTGAGCTGCTATAGCGGAACAAGCAAAGGTACTTACAGATAATAAGCACCACTAGCACTAGCACTCACAATGGTTACCTTGTGGGAAAACACTTAATGGTATAAGGTGGTGAAAATCATTGGCATAAGGTGATTTTTTTCCTGTTGATACTTTATGATTTTTCATTTGTCTATCTAAAAAATTGAGTTTCTATATAGTACCTCAGAATAAAATGAGTTATAACTTTAGTTTTCATACCTGTTTTTAAGTATCGTTTGTTTTTATAAATTTGACATGTATTAAAATGTACTGGGGCCCACTGGTTTTGCAGTTGAAGTTGCATCAGTGGTGCAGTGTATTTATTTGTATATATAAATAGTAAATGTGGTTCCTGCATGATTTTGAATTTACCATATATTGTATTTGCTGTAAAGTCATTTATGCCAGTGATTGTTAAAAGTAAATATTCTTTCATTGATGTGTGAAATGTGCAAATTTTTTCCATCTTTCCTATTCTTTATGATTATTAAATTGTGGAAAGTTGCATGTTTGCATTTGTGTTGAACTAATGACTTGTGCATGCTGCCTGTTTTGCATCTAGCCCTTATGTATATTGCTTCAAATGTCTTCTAAACTGTAGTTCTTTGTAGCTAAGTAAAATAATATTTTCCATTACAAGTACCACATAGTTAATTTGTGGTGATATTTCATTATTCTTAGATTAAATATTCAGTAATTTTGCAGTTTAGAAATAAAATTTTCAAAACGAAGGCTTTCAGTTGTTTCACTAATGTTTTATTGCTAATTTGCCTTTCATAGTATTTATCTTCATTGTTTTCCTTCTTTTCATGTTTGTATAATTTTTTTTACTTAAAATCAGTAAGATGTCAAATTAGTAAGACGAAGGAGTGAGTGTTTTTATTTTTCAATGTTGATTTTCTTGTATGGTTTTTAATGGCTGCTGTTGTAAAGTACCCAGAATTTCTTTAGATCTTATTGGGTGCACATTTTCCACAAAACATGATGTTCAAAAGCGGTTATTTTTCCTCCAATTTATCAAAATCCTTCTGCATGATGGACGTTTCAATAGAAAATTACTGTTCTTTTGCTAAAATAATGGCTGAATTTATAATTTTGATTGTTCAATAATTAATGGTTTTTAAAATTTTGCAAACCAATTAGCTGTTTTACACTTTAAACTTTTAAATATATTTAATGATTAATTCTGTGGTTTTTGGTTGGAGCAAAACTCCGAAATTGCATTAGATCCAACTCTGGCTTCTCTACGCCATTACATTTTTGAACAATTGTAATGTGTGAATGTGTAATTGTGTGGAATAGCCAAAGTTGCATCTAATGTGAGTAATGTTCTCACCAAACGCAACAGAATACTGGCTTTTAAAGCAGTCAATATGTTTTAGTTATTAGACAAAAACAATTAGTACAATTGTAGGCTCATTTATTGTCATACTATTTTTTTTATTTCAACATTGTTTCCTTACAAATGATAATAGCAATCTTCAGTACTTTGGGATGTATTAGTTTAACAGTTGCATACAAACGTCATTCTGGTGTCCAGAGAACACCAATTAGGGGGTCAACACAAATTAGGGGACCCAGAATAAATTGTAATATAATGAAGGAAAACCTTAGATATCTAAGAATTAATGCTTCATGTATTTAACAATATATTACAATCGTTTTCTGCAAGTATGTGGTATAGGTTTAGGCTACATGTTCAGTGGAACTATTGCAGGACATACATATTTCGAACATTTTCTAGTCTTGTGGTCCTTTTTCGCAAAGATGCAGGTGGCCATCTCTTATTCAAAGGGGGTAGCAGAATAAGATGGGCAAAATTGTTGCCAGGGATAAAAATTTGTGTTGAAAATTGTAATTGAAGTTTAAAAAAGTTTTTGGCTGGATTAAATCGATTTATCCAGAGTGCTTTGTACCAATGAACAAACAGGTGGATTTTAGGCTGTCTGGGTGATGCAGCGTCGAAGGCTGAGGTGCTTGAAGAAGGCTGCAATATGTTGGTCGAAACATCGGCGCCTCAGCCTTAGACACTGCGTCACCCAGCCTGCCCAGATCGTGACCCTACTTATTTATTTTCTAAAAATTAGGTTTTGTTTTATTAATTTTCATAGCTTTTTTATTAAGGTGTATTAGGAAAGATAAATAATAAAAAACAAAATTGTAGAATAATATTATAACCTATTGTTATTTGAGTAACCCCTACTTGTATACAGTCCTATACTGAAATAAGATATTGTTGATGGGCTCTAAGAGAATGCAGTGTCTATATAGCAGTTACTCTTGACAATGATTTTTAATTGTTTTGTAAATGTCCAATAAGCATTGAGAGAAAACTGTCACTTAGGGTTAAGAAAGATTGTAATAGTAAAAGTGTAAAAAGATGAATCTTCTTACCTAAACAAAGATGGAGGGTGGGAGGGGAATGGTGCTGGGAGCCATACCCCTCTACCCTTCCTCCTCCTCCTCCTCCTCCTCCTCCTCCTCCTCCTCCTCCTATTGATATACGTCTGTTAATCAATTTGTAGCATCAGTTTTAATTTATATTATTTGTGATTTTAGTATGTGCACCTTTACAAATGAAGTGTGTAATTTTGTTTTGAAATTCAATATTTTTTGTGTACAATGTTCTTTGGTTTTCAAAGTACTGTTTTTTGGCATAAATTTGGTAACATTTACTTGTAAATCAGAGTATAATTTAGCAAATAAATGTTGCGATTAGTTAAATGTAACAAGAACATAGACAATTATGAATGAGGTAAGTTATTTAACTTACTTTTCTCATTTGAATTCAACTTGTCTCCAAAGAATGTTACTTGTGCTCTAATGTTATGAAGAGAAGGAAAAACACATCAGTGTTGTGTTCTGCTTTCTATTTTGTACGGACATGGAAAAAATATAATGAAAGGAGCACATTTGTGGGAGACACTTGTTAAAATAATGGAAAAGTAGTTAATCCTTGATATTAATTATAATAATGAAGTACAAGTTTTGAATTATGATTTGGAAGTTATGAAATTTTAATAAAGTTTTAAACTTGTATGAGAATTGTGTAACTGAAATAAGGAAAGCAAACATTAATTAGAAAATAAACTGTCCTTTCCTCTTAGAAGGTTATGTCCACTGAATTTTCAACTCGTGCAGGATATTAAAGACTGACTGTGTTCTTGCATTCTGTAGCTTGTCTAATCTCATTATTCAGTTTAGTTTTATTCCAAGAAGATTGGATTTGAAATGTTTGCTTCTGTGATAAGTTGTTCCAAATGGAGTGATGGTAGAGACTGTGTATATGATACTGGTTGTGCAATTTCTATAGTTAGGTATAAAGGTTTTATGTAGCTTAGTAAACTCTTTTAGCTACATTTAATTTTCCGTAGTAGTAAGACTACTTTTCTCTGTGCATTGTTAATTTGAAGTGTCATTAGAAATATTAATTTTTGGAAAGTTATGTTCTTTTTCGATTGCTGGAATTTGCTTATTGCACATACCATCTAATTTTCAACATGGAAAGGTTTTCAGAGAAATTTATCAATTTGAATGGATTCTGAGGAAAAGACAGTTTTACTGCATAATGTTATAATTTTCTAATGATTTGCTACTTATTTCAAAGTGTTATGGAAAAAGACACGACCATTATGAAATGCTGCTTGTACTTGTGAGTTTTGATATTTGTTTCGTTGGGAACATAAATTAAAAGTTTCATGTAAATGTTGTTGCTATTGTCTCATTTGATACGTAAATACTGAACATAAATTTTCTCTGATGAATGAAAGGGCATGCAGTTTCTTTTTTAGAACAAATGAAATTTAGGAGTTTATGCTTGTTGATTTGTTACATAATTGGGATTATTGATATTCTTCATAGATAAAAATAACGTTCCACAAAAAAATATTGGTTGTATGTGGTTGCAAACTGTGGATTCTCTTTAAATATAAAAGTATACTTGGATGAGCAATGCCTTCCTATCTGTTTGTGGGTCTGTTAATGTGATATGGCACTTACCCAAATAAATTGTCATTTATTGTACTGTGAATAATTTTATCTAATTGCAGTCATCTCAAAATCAACAATTTGAGTATGTTGGAAAACATTAACCACAAAATTTTGCACAATTTTTGGGAAAGGGAAATTTTGAGGAAATTGTTACTCTCGTAGGTTTGTTTGCTTTTGTAATAAATATGTTGCTACAGGTTGTACAAACAATCAATTGCATTTGCCAAATAAAAATAGAATTGATTAGTTATTTGACTTGATGAGTGTGACAGTCTTGGCATGATTAATTTGGCTTAAATCAAACCTCGCATCTTGCATAGGATTAAGTAGTTGAATACAACTTCCATTAAAAATCTAATTGTTGATTTGAAAAATATATTTTTATACTTTTAAAACTAAATTGTATTTTAGAGTAAATCTAGCTAATAATTATGACATAACACTGAATGAGTATTTTAAGACAAGTAATCTCATAAGTTGCTTTTCTTTTTCATTCTTAAAGAAAGGTAAGATGAGGCATTTCCAGGATCAACTTCATTAATGCATCTTGTTTGTGGGTGAGCAGTTAGCCTGGAGAGATGGTGTCGGTTGCGAGGCAACTTGCTGTTCTACTTCAAATCTCGAGAGCAGTGGTCAGAGCCTCTGGGGGTCATCATTCTTGAGCAGTGTTCCATCAAAGTGGACTCGCCTACAACAGAAGGTCCTTATGGCTTCCACCTTGGTAAGCAGTGTTAATTACATTCATTCTCATGAAAATTGAAACTTTATTCTGTTTTTGATCTAAAGGGAGTCGTGAGATATACGTAAATGTGGGCAAACATTTTTGTAATGTTCATTTTATTATTAGAATGAGTATAAACTTCAACTAATAGTAAATATAGGATGAACATTTGCATTACAGCAGTAGAGATCTCAAATTTTGTATTTATTATTTACTTTTTAATTAATTTTAAATGTATTGTTTTGCTTCAATTTGACAAATTAAAGCAATAAAAACTGTTCCTTTCGGTTTCTTCTTTATAGAGCATTTTTGTTGTCACTTGTTATTCTTTCTCCCCTACATTCTTGTATTACTTCATGTATTTCTTTATACTGTTGTATATTGGGAACAACTTTAATTTTTTTGTATTGAATTTTACCTTTTTCTTCCTAAAAGTAAAATGAAATGAAAAGATGGACTAAGTATGGATAAACACATTCAAGTAATATGTAATTAAGTAAATATGGTTTATAAGAAATAAATCTGTTGCTTGCCTTGGGGGAAATGTCTGATAATTTCTAGATTATTAAGTTTTATGTTCTTTTCAGGAACAGATTTCCATGAAGTTTTTTGGGAAGAAAGATGCTCTTAAAATAAATCATGGCTAAAGTCTGTCGGATTTTAATGTTCTTTTATCTTTTGCAGTTTTTGAAGGAGGACTTAGCCAACATTTAGCAGCTTATTCAGAAGGGGAGAGAGATGCCTGGCTGCAGTCAATTCAGCTTGCAAGTTACGATTGCATGAGGTCACAGCTCTTAGCACTGCAGCAAAGAATGGAACTTCGTCGAGGTCAAGATCCTGATCTTGATGTTCATATGTGGAGGATACGAAGAGGACATACTGTAGGTAAGAGCTCATCTCTTGAAGATGTAACATAGCAGATTACATTGACTACCACCTCTGCTGAGAGGCCAGATGAGATTCTGTGCATTTTCTTGTAAGAAGTTATCCCGAACTAAGGTAAGGTTCAGTAAATATATGGTGTTGAAAACTTCTCTAAACTGAGAAATAATGGGTACCTGTATAAAAAATGATTATTCATTACATCATGAAAGTACTGTTCAATTTGGCTGCAGCCTTATTTTTTGTGTTAGTGTCAGTTTAAATTAATGAGATTTTTGGATACAGTGTGTGCTAAAACAGTCAAAATTCACAATTTTAGAAACTTCAAAATATTTTTTGGCTTAATAAAACTTCTGTCAATTTGATTATCTTTTCTTGCCATTTGCTTTAGCACCATTGGAATGGAATGCTACTAATCTATTTTCATATTTTTTGCAAAAGTTTGAAGGTCTTTATATAATTAAAATAATTATTGTCTAATGTTTTGCCCAATACATCTGTTAAGAAAATACTGTTACTTATATATCTCCATTTTTTTACTGTAGTAGTAAAATGATCCTCCATTTAAATTAATATTTCCCAAAATAAATAAAAATTTGTTTTACTGCACAGCAAACTACAGGTGGCAAATACTATGTAGGGAAGTCTGTCCGTCATTCAATAACTGCCAAAAGAGCTCTGGAAGAATGTCAGTAAACCCAACCTATTACTTGTACCACTCAACTCAACCCACTTAACACCTCAGTACTTTTGTGGGGCATTTGAATACCCCATGGTGACTTGTTGTTGCTTCTGCTGCTGTTACTTCCCAGATATATTTTAAATGCAAACCAGTTTATTTATTCTTCAATTAAGCTGTAAGAAATACAATTTCCTTTGTTGCATTCACATAAGTGTAAAAGTTTGCACGTTATAGTTTTACCACACTGCTTGGGGGAATCTGCATACCTCACAAGAGTATCTGTGTAACTTGACAGTGTTATAACAATGAGAATGCAATATATTCTCAAGAAGATACTCACAGTGGCAAAAATTACATTTTTGAATTTGGAATGATGTGCTTTTTAAAGGAGGGTGTTTAAAAATAAAATCTAAATGCTTACTAGAAACATTAACTTTGCTGCTCAGAATATCAACAGTTCATTTATTTTTTGTAATATGTAAACCTGTCAAAATAATCATCTATGTATTGACTGATAAATAAATGTGTTAATGTGACCTGTCCTTATATTTATAATGTTATGAATACCCCTCATTTACGATAGTGTAATTTCAATTTTCCTGCATTTTAAAACGGTACTTGCTCCAACACCATCTGGAAAGCACTTTGTGTTGCGTACAATGGGCACTGTCGCTGCACTTTCCTACCACCTTGCTGCATTAAAAATGGCCATAGCAAAAATACTGTTGAATGGTTCGATATTATAAAGAGTTATGAAATGTTACATAAAGACTAGAAGATTTAAATATAGTGAAAATCATTATTGCGCAGCTAAGTCTATTCAAATTTACACTTCGTTACATTACAGAGGTATTTAAAAAGGTAGAAAAAATGGATAATATGCATTGGTAGAAGAATATAATGTCTGTGCCACATGAATGTAGCATTGTGTTGAGTGGGCGCATGTTACGTAATGCTTAACGTAAGTTCTTGGTGACATGTGTTGTTGCCAATACTTGTCGTGCGCTGAATGATAGAAAACACACTTTATCTTGACTTAGGTTGTAGCTTGAGTGTATTGCTTCTGCTCTGGGTATAAAGAAAATGTGGCAAAGTGCACACTTGTGCCATTTCGAAAAAGATAGTTTTAATCTGTGACTTGTGCACAGTCATCAGCGTTAGTTGACTCATGTAAATGCAATGCTCATATGACACAGGCTTACGAGAAGTAGCCTCACGATCATTTGTTTATTTTACATCATCCTTCTTCACAATTCCACACTTTCTCATTCTAAAATAAACATAATTTTTTCCCATTCTTTAAAAACCCAAACATCCAAGAATGGAATTCTTTGTACATTTTTAACTGTATATTAGTTTCATGAACACTCTTCCTATTATTTCAGAACTAACTAAATAAATAAATAAATTTTAAAAATGACTACTGGAAATCATTACAAACTGTCGAAAAAAATATTTTAGGAGTTTGGGAAAATGTTAACTGTGCAGTTTTTTCATTAGAAATACAATTTTTCCCTTCATTCATCAACAATGAGTGCATTGTAGCATTGTCAAAGGTTATGATTAGTAGAATGCAGGGACTCGTGGAAGTGTCGTTGCGACATTTAAAATTCGCTGTGGTTTGGTTAATACGCCTTCGATTTCTGATGTTCTAAATTTTGGTCGGATTTCTATTTGATCTTGTAATATTGCTTATTATCTAATAATGCGTATTAAACACTTACTACACTAACACAACTTCAATAAAACTTAATTGACTTTCCCTTTGGATGTTATTAGTCTTGCTGCAGTCTGTTAGTGTATTTATAGACCTAGGCTAGAAAGGTTCTATTTGCGAATGATAAACATTAATATAACTGTGGAGATTAATGTGCAAAAAAATTTTTTATCAGGGTACTCGTACACAGGTAGTATATTTGATCAAATGCACTATTTTAGAATGGTGTCCTTTCTCACCTTACATTTTTAGGCAAGGCGTATTTTGCTGTTTTAATACAGATACACCAGAATTATAAAAAGAACAATATATGAAGCAATGTTAATAAAAAGGGGGAAATAAAAACAACTTACAATATTTAAAGATACTTACTTTCAGCATTAGAGCCTAGAAGTGATACATTTTTTCTGTTGTCTTGTTTTGTAGTTTTCTGTTCACATATTATTCGAGTCCATCTTGCTTTTTTTGGGAAGTATATTGGAGAGATTAGAATAGGTAATGAATACAATGATTCAATTGATATACTGGAGAATAATCTTGTTGTTAGACTGGTCAAAAAATATTTCTGTAGTTGAGTTTCATATTTGATAAAAAATTGTGACTTACCCTTTATGAGGACTGCATCAGAAATATTTATAGAACCTTAGAGGAGGATTGAAAAGGTGAGCCGCTTATTTTGTTATGAAAATCTACTCCTGATGGAGTCGTAGTGACTGAAAAAGAGAGAAAGGACATCACAATTTATAAAACCTTATATATTATGAAACAATTATGTTAAATAAATCTAGTTTTTGAAATTATTTATTCATTAAAAAGTACAGGCATTTGTGCAACTATTTTTTTAATTTTTATACTTGTATCTTATGTGAAAGATTTTTCATTAATTTTATCAGATTTTTGCCTTGTTTTAATAGTTTCTGCTTCTTTATTTACAATTTATATTTATTAATAAAAGTTATTTGAAGGTCAGTTTATATTCCTTATTTATATAACTAATCTGCCTGTTTTTCTTTCACAAGCTCTTTGAGAAACTGAAAGAGTGTTTCTGGGAGCCTTTACATTCCCTTTCTTTTTTCTTTCTTTGTTGAATTGCTGAGCACCAGACATTTTAATTTTTATTATGTATTCCTCACTCTTGAGTGTTTCGTTATTAAAATTGTTTTTTTTCTTCCTCAGATCCCTCTGAATTGCCTCTATGTGAAATATCTCTAGCCTGTGATAATTTGCTCTGTGATGGCCACGGCCGCCCTCCAAATCCAGTCTTGGTGGTACATGTGTATATACCCATGGATGGTGTATGGATAAAGTATGCAAAAACAGAAGTAGTAGAGGTATGGTATATTTCATGGCAATTTTCATGTTATTGGTTACAAAGAACACAGTCATGTTTATAGGTCTATATTTACCTCAGAAATTAGGTACTAAGAAATTCTCTAAAATTTTTTGACTGACCTTTATGATTTGCTTCATGGAGGGAGAATTTTTGAGTTTCTGGGACCTGTCATTAATGTTAATATTAATGTAAGGTTAATTACAAGATCAGAATTATGTTATTTAAAACAATAAATTTAGAGTTTTGATGTACCAGAATATGTTATGAAAATTTTATGTATATTAAATTATATTATGTAGTCCTTTTTGTTATGCTCTTCAATCTTTTGTATCTAATACTTTGTGGGTGGTTGTTATACATTTATCAGACAGTTGATCACTGTTAAATTTCTAACAAATATGACATTTCTTTTTGTGGAATTTGTGCTATGAACCTAATGAAGCTCATTTGTTGATGCAATTTTTGTATACATTTTTCTGAATTTATTCTTGGCACACCTCCAACAGGTGTAGAATGTTTCAATTAAAAATTTAAAGCTTGTGATTTATAATTATAATATTTATATTATAATAATAATTGTAATAATAATTATTATTATAATGACCTACTGTGATTAGTTCCTTTTCAGGTAATTGTTTGCCTGTGTGTGTATGTGTGTGAATGTATATATATGTGTATGTGTATATATTGGACCATACAAAAAAAATATATAAATAGAACGATTTTCTTCAGAATGGGATAAAGTGACTGTTCCCGAAACAAGTGAACATAACGTGTACTTCAGAGAAGTATCCCTCCGCCACGTCAGCTGTTTAGTTACGCCCCTTCATAGTGTTTGTTTACGGTTCACATGAGACATCACTAAAGAGATGTCCGAGTTTCGCTTAGTTACATGCACATACGTGAGTCCGGGAAATATCGAAATTTATTTACATATATGGGAAAATGTCTTAACATGACCTCACATTCAATAAAAGAAAACTGCCACGAATGTAAATAGAAAGAAAATTGATTTTTCAGGGGACGTTAAAATACTTTCTAAACGTTTGACAGCAAATGGCTCATCCACTTTTGTAGTGAAGAGGGTGGTTTATAATTTTAACACCCTGACTATCAAAACATGGTACTATGCTCTCATAACTCAAATGTCAAGCATGATATCATGAAAAGCTCCCACAGGTCGCCAGTCGCCACACAGCGCAGATGCCGGAAACACGTGCACCGTCACGAGTACGCATCTCACATTCAAGACTCGATTTTAAAACAAACATAATACTTATCACATAAAAACTAAATTTAATGTAATTTTTATAAGAAAAAAAGAATTTTTACAGAAGAGTACAAAGCTCTGCATTTCCTAATTTGAATTATTTCTCGTGGTGCACTATATTTCCGTCAGGCGAGAACATCACAACAGGGAGCATCGAAACTATTTACAAGTTAGCCAACTGCAAAAATATATATATTTATTTATCCAAATTTAGAGATTCTTAATAAAAAAGTGAATCATAAAGATATCTTTAAAATTAGAAGAGTAATGATGTTTCGAGTCAGGCCAAAGAAGTAAAAGTAACTTTAGAGAAAAGCCAGATTAAGAATTTCTTTAGCTTTAAAATGATCTGTGAACACTAATTCCCTAAATGTAAGAAATGATTTGTCCAAAGGATATTCTGCTTTTAATGTGACAGTATAAGGACATTTAAATTGAATTTTTAAAATTTCTCTAAGAGAAAATCTTAATTTTACTTTAGTTTTTAGCGATCAAGGCCACATGAATTGCAAATGGTCGTGAGACATGGCATATGTGTGCACATTCGGAAAAGCACAAATAAATAAAAAACTAACCAACAAGTAGTTGTTAGCACTGAAAAGTATACATCTCAATGCACAACTAACTATGGAAAACAAAAATTCCAATTTTTCCCGGAAAAAAGTTATTTTCAGGTAGAAGAGTACCTTAATACAAGTGATTTGAGGATTTGGCCTTGAAGTTTCAGAACTGTATATATAAGAGTTTAATGGTACAAAAAACAATATCATGATACTGTTCTAGTGTAGATGAGACTGAATCAAGGCATTGTAAGATGCTAAATGATGTATTGGCAATGTGTTCAGAAAACTAATTGATTTTTTGGTTTTGTGTTTTTTAGAGAAGTAGTAATCCAGGCTTCTTGAACACCGTCAGCTTTAGGGCTAGTGATGGCCTAAGCAGTGAAACACGTGTACGGCTTACAGCCTATGATGTTCGAGAACATGTGTCGCAGACAGCCACTCCAATAGGCTCCTCTATTGTGACACTTGGTGCTGTACAAGAGACAGATCGTTTACGAATTCCTCTACGATCACCTTCAGGCACTACTGTTGGATTTCTTTCTTTGACTGTTTGGAATTTAGAACTTGAGGACAAGGGTGGTAGCACAGAATCGACACCCTGTAGAAGCGCCCCTGAAAATGACATTGGAGCTGTAAGTCTTGGTCTTACATGTTCAAAAAGAGTAAGATGAGTTTGTTGATCAGTGTTAATATTTGAACTGTGGTAAATCAATTACAAGTTCAAACAACTTGGCCTAGGTTGGATGTCGTTGTAAATTTGTGGTCTCTACCTCCAGGAATTTGCATCACAATTTGACCATGCATTTTTTTGTTCAAAGTTTAGAACTTTTCATTAGTAAACCATGATGTATAAGTGCAAAAACGTTACTTGTATTACTGGCTTGAGTAGCTGTACCTGCTCATCTCACTTTAAAATACTGAGAAATATATTTTCTAATACATTGTCTGTAAAAACTTCAAATATAATTTGAGATCAAGTTCATACATAGAATTATTACAGAACAAGAAGTTTAAACAATGAATGTATGTTACTAGTTGCGATATACAATTTTTAAAAAGAATTACTCATCACAACTTTGAAGTTAATATAATGAATCAAATTTTATGTACCTGAAAATAATTGGACCATAGTCAAGGTTAATGGAAGAGAAGGCATGATTCGATATTTTATACTTTCATGATATTGTGTATTATTTGATATCCATGACTGTTGTCCAATTATAACCTTTTGTGTAACATATAATTTATTACAATAATATAATTGCAGTTCTATGACGACTGCAGTTGTTCTTGTTAATAGTTCTTTTTTTTCTTTTTTTTTCTCCTTTTCTCTTTCTTTTCTTCCTTATTCTCTCTCTCTCTCTCTCTCTCTCTTTTTTAATACATAATAATAAAAAGGCATATAATACTAAGTAAAGTTTTGAAATCTTCATAATAAAAATATCTTCTGAAAAATTAAAAAATAAATTATGCAGATTTTTTTTTAAATTTCCTGCTGAGATACAATACCAGTGTGCAGGTCCAATTATTATCATTTATAGTAAAAAGAATCTTAAGTTTGTGATAAGTAACAACAATATATTGAGTGTTTAAACTCCTTGTTCAGTAATTATATGTTTTGCGTGGTCGGGGTTGCCAATTATAAAATTATTTTATTTTCTTTCCAATGATACTGCAGCTTAGATTGAGCCTTGGCCTAACATCTGCCAAATGGCAATAAAACTGAAGAATTTCACGCTAGAGATTAACTCTTTCATATGAATGTAACATCAGACTGGCGCATAACATTGAATTACATTGCACAATTAGTATAGCAGACAATGCAACACAATAATTCAGATGTATAACATATATGAGAGTTCTGTCAGATTAAGAAACATTGTTATTCAATGGATTTAGTATTTAGAGATAATACTATACATTTGCACTCAATCAAATGTATCAGAGTAATATCAGGTAGTTATAATAATGAAATATGCAGTGCTAAAAGTATCAGTAGTCTTGCTGTTATATAAGAGTATTTATTTATTTTAATTGCAAAAGTTTATAATAGCATACCTTGCGGAGTTAATTTTAGTTACCTGTACGTACATCTGGAGGAAAGAAGAAGGGGGGGAAAAAAAAAACAAGAAAAAAAAAACACACACACACATCAACAACATACAATAAAATCTTACATCACCACACGTCTTCCATATATTAATTAACTGCTCGATTAAAGAATTTTGTTACTAGACAAGTCATATATGCGATTACTCATTACAATGAAGCAATGCACGCACTAAAAGAGTGTGATGTTGGTTTTTTCAGTCATTGAAGTAAAACTTGAGTAGAATTTCTTGTTGTTCTTGAGATTGAATTATTAAGTAATCACATGACACCCCTTTCCGATGACAAGTTTCTAGTTGATGACATGACAAGTTGGGTGCACAAATGTGTTGGTATTTCTTAAATACTTGCATTAAACGCTAACGGCTAAACCATTCAATAGGTTTTTCTACACAATTGATATTCCTCAATCAATCTGGCTGATGTCATGGACCTTTGAATTTGAAACCTATATTTTAATTTTGGAGGGATACTTGACATGAAGGCCTTGGGAAATTTTATAAAAAAATGGCTCCATTGTTTTTGATTAAATTTTGTTTTTGGATAGTGTGAAGGATGTTTAAGAGAATGGTGTAAGTCTCATTTTTGTTGTAAACTCATTTTTTGAAAATTACAAAAATGGGGAAGAATTGTATAAGGCGGGAAATTAGTATTTCAAAAGGTAAAAGTGGGGACAATTTTACATTGTGAGCATAGGAGAATAGAAGAGACCTATGCAAATAGTGGGAAAACGTAAATTCCTGGAATGTAGAAGTGCAGTTTTACTGTATTTTTTAAATATATACAGCTCAGTGTAACTAAAGCATCTACTTCTAGCCGCAGGCAATGCATGCCGTGATGTCTACAAGAGTGCTCAAAACAAGTAAATGCTCTGTTTGACAGACCTGCTTTAATCTGAAATGGTACACCATAAACATGCACTTCAAGATCACTTGCTATCTATTGGTATATATTGCCCAAATTCAGAGTATGGTTTGGTTTTCTGTATTTGAAATATTATAAAAAAAAAAAAAAATTATACTTCACACAGCAGCTCTGTTCTCGAAGACTCTTAGATCATTTCCCTCTTTTGCTGTCTGTATATTTATAAATCACTTGCTGAAGTCATCAACATTTAGTAGAAATATCTGGTGTAGATTTTTCCCTAAAATTGAAGGCGAGGCTCAATGTATCCAGATTTTGCTATTTTGGCAATATGTTGATTTGTACAAAGAAAACTAGATGAAAATTTAGAAGGTCCAAAAATAAGATGAACATTGAAAGAACATCTAAAACAAATGCTGCTTACAATGTGGTCTAACATTTTAAGATTCATGTTGTGAAGAAGTAATGATCAGGGGAAAAAGTCTTTTCATGTACTAGCTACTAAAATGATACTCACTTGTCCCAACCTTGCAAACGTGGAAACGAAGAAACTAATGTATTGCGTGAGAAACCAAGCAGTGTAGTTTCATTGGAAACCGTGCCTAATTATACCATTAAATCTGTATTAAGCAACCACTGTTTGTTCCATGAAAAAGTTGTCTTTTAGAGGGATGGCTACTTAACGTGAAGAGAAAAGCTTTTAATTTATAAAAAAGACAGTCTATTATTACTCTTTTAAATAAAAAAATGAACTTGGGATATTTAGTTTTTTAAAACAATTGACGGAAGTTCTAGAAATTGAACAAGGTGATGCATACAATCTTCTTTTTGACCTGTTTTCTTGAATAAGACTGAAGTATGAAGTTAACCCTTTGACTGCTAAGTGTTTCTAGCAGCTACCCAGCTCTGTGAGCCGAGCCAGTGTCCCCAGGGAAGAGGCCCCCTCTTGCCTTTGATGTTACAGATATCTTTGCAAGTTCAGACCTAGTTTAGAACTTTAAAAATGGTGCCAGTACCATCTATTTTCAATTACATGAAGCTTTAGATTCACTAGTAGTATGTCAATGTTAGAAGGCGTGTGTATATTCTTATAAAAAGAATGAACAAACAATTAAAGATGGAATGAATGAACAAATTAATGCTATCCAGAAGCTCAATGTGCATGTATGCTCATAGCACCAATTGCTCAGTTCCTCATGGATATGCAGGCATGTTCACAGCACATGGGGCACAGATCCTGGCAGACTTGCATGCACATTAGTAGTGAAAGGGTTAATTTGAGTCAGCTGTCAAGCTGTCAAAAGTAAAATGTATTTTTAATTCATGTACAATCTGCAATTGTTTTGTTTTAGGTGTTTTCACATCGTCGTTCTCAGTCTCTTCCTCCTCGATTGGGCATAAAATTGAAACTTCCTCACCAAGGTCATTTACATCAACTGTTCGCCAACCCTCATGTACAGACTTACCGATTCCATTCAGGCCTTGGAGGAGACATTTCTGTTCATGAAGTTATGGCAGAGAGCAGACTATGCTTCCAGTTTCCCCAGCAGCTACTGTGAGTTTTCTGTTTGCTTCAAATTTTAAAGTGTAGCAAATACTGTTTGGAATATAACTGTTACATCATGCACAAGAAGTTTAATATTGTTATGTTTAATTTTGTTTATACATTGCAAATTTCAAATTTATCATGCTTTCACATGACTTCACATATGCTACAAGAAAGTAAAATATAATGTCTCTGGAGAAACTGTTACTAATGTTTCCAAAAATGTCCTTTAATTTAGGTAACCACTTAATGCATGTTGTGAGAATTTGGGTCTTGGATAAGCCTAATTATGCTGTTTGCTATGGTGCATTAAATTTACTCTTATGTTAACTTACTTTTATTTTCATGTGTGCAAAAAAAACACTAGGACTCGTGAACAACCTTTCTACAAAACAATACAAATACTTGTTGTTGTATGACTTTCATTTTCACTCTACTATTTGTTTCTATAGACATGATTCTAAACTATACTCAAAGCGGCAATTCACACTTCGAAGAAACCTCATTGGGAGCATGAAAATAGTCTGTTTTTATGTGAAATAGAAAATAATCCTCCCACGGGTTTGTGACTAAGAATCTCTTTTAAGTAATCTCACACTGCAATACCACAGCACAAAGATACTGAACCAATAGTAATTTCCGAGTCTTCTGTTTTTTATAGTGCTTAAGAGGGAATATTTACAAGCGAGTTTTGGAACAATGAATTGGTGCCAATTGGTAACAACAAATTGACTGTTAATGGAGGTATCCGTTTCAACAGGTTTCACTGTATTTGCTTTGTTCACAACTCTTGTTCCTTTCTTCCCTGGCACTGAATCTTTCAAGTAATATTGTTAAAAAGGATGCAGTTTACTGAATTTATTTATTTCTAATTCTGAACAATTTGTCAAATATTATTACACAAAAATTACTCAGTAATTCTGTTAATTTCTAAAGTCATATGTAATACTAAGAACACCATTTAAAAATTTAATACATTTGCTATTAAAAATTAATTGTAATTCCCATATTTTAGATAGTTATATTATTTAAACCTTAATGTGTCTTTTGACATTAATTCTAGACAAATTTCAATTGTTACAGTTAAAAATTGTTTTCTGTTAAAATTTGTTGATAAAATATCCTTTACATGGGTTCAGTTGTAGTACATTACAATTCATTCATTGGGATAAATCTTATTAAATGTGACAAGGAAGATTTTGTTTTTGTACTAAATTAGGATATTATAACTTTCATTAGCGCTTATCAAATTCTTTTCCTGTCAGAGCACTATGGATTCAAGAAGAGAAGGAGTTACTTCAAGAAGTAGCAGGTATGGGAGAGCTGAGAGAACCATGGCACTCCCGTCAAGTAGAACTCTTGGATAGACACCTTCAATTACTACATCTTTATTCGCAGGCTCAAGAGCACCTGCAGGCCCACAGAGGTATGGTTATGATTGCAGGCAAGTTCTACAACATTTATTGATATCCCCCTCATGTACCCTCTATTATAATTTATATCCCCCTCATGTACCCTCTTCCTTTTCCCCTACACTTTTTTCCAATTTCACATCTCATTTGTCTTGTTCACCCCTTTCATTTTGCTTCTGGCCCTTTTTTCTTTCCCTTTCCCTCTTGTGCCTCTTTTCTTTTGTGTATGCATTCATCGTGGAGTAAATGAGTATTTTTTGAGGAGTGAGATGGTGTGCTTGATTGTTCCTTACATTATGGGAACTTTTATTTCTTTCTAAATGCATGAAAGTCAATTTAGACTGTTATCAACTGCATAAGACGAATGAGTCTGGAGATTTTCAATAAGATAATATGCAAGCTTGTCTCCATATGTAAAGTGAAATGTTTTTCTATCAAATTCTCTTTAAAAAATGTTTGATCTTGTATTGTTAGTTACAATGTATTTTTTATCTTTATTGTTCATAGATTTTAGTATTTAATACGACTCTTTAACATATTGATAAATGTTGAAATATATTAATTAAAAATGTGTAGTGTAGTATGCTTATTTTGTTGGCTTGTATATTATGAATTACTTTAATTCTGAGACTGAATGCTAGTCAGTATTCCTGAGCTAAAACATAGAATAATGTGGGTGAAATTGTCATGCCTAAATAATTGTGTGGGGGTTGCAGGTAGTTTTTTCAAACCAAGCTCTCGAAAACATGACCGGACACTGGAATTCGCTCCTGTTAATCTTCATTTACAACGTATGTGGGTGCAGAATGATACATTAAGGAAAAGTGGCTTTTATGACATTATCACTGTGGGTGCTTTCACTGCTCATTCGCACAAATCAAAGAATGGAGGCCTTATTAAGTGAGTAATTGCAATACTTAAATCATCACTTAAAAAATTATCATTTATTTCTTGGGTGTATGAAATGGATCTTATAAAATAATTTTGATTTTCCTTATTGTTAGACTTTTACAACAATTGAAGGAGTCACCTGGTAAGGACAATTCATCTTTGCAAGGTCCTACTAAGATATCCATGGCTCATGGTGCTATTCAGGTAAGAAATTAATTTGTAAATGTTTGAAATATCTAGTATATTTCCTTCTCTCATTTGATAGCTTGATGATTGATGTGAATGTTTGTAATACTAGTAATAATTGAGGCCCATTTAATAAAAAAATGTTCATTAGCAGTACAATATTATTAGAGAACTGCTGTCCTTGTATGAAATTATTTGGTCTGAAGATGTTAGAATTATGTTATACTTAAAATGTATTATTTTGAGCCCCAAAAAATATAATTAGAATTAATTTTGCCTCAACAAAATGCCTATCTTGAAATTTCTTGGTATTATTGGGTGTTGGACATTGATAGATCATGATTGTCATGTCCTTGTGAAGCTGCTGTTATGTTATAAGAACTGACATGAAATTGCAGTTGATACATTTTTATATAGATTTTCTTTTAATTTGAATAAGACCCTGTTAAGCACCTTACGTAATTAGTTTTGGTACCTTTCTATAATAGAAAGATATTTAGTGTTGTGTATGCATGCAGTTTCAGGGAAAGGTATTTGGAATATACGGGTATGTCAATGATTTTCAGGCTCAGGAATCAATTATTTATCTGGATAAAATTCAAATCCATGAAATTAGTTATTTGTTATTAGTTTTAAAACATATTCTACTTAACAATTATGTCTATTCCACTAATTGTTTTGTGAAGGATAGTGCACCCAGGCCATACTAAAAACAATCAACATGCTGTAGATAATGCAATGAACCTGGCAGGATGTACACCCTTCGTCGTAGCTGTTTTGAACATCCTTTCATAATGATTTCTAATGTACTTTACTGAATTTTGTGATTAATATAAGTGGCTACATGAATATCAGTAAATGGTTTAATGCACTTGAATTACTTCTATGACTCTGGAAAATTTTGATTTATTTAATTCTGCTAACAAATTCAGTTTACGTGTGATGGAATTTGTTTCCTTTCTTGGCAGTTTTAATTTTACTTTTTATCATAGAAAAAAAATTTATTATTTTTTAAAAGAAAATTTATTAAAACTTGGTATTGAGTACTTCATTGGTATTCAGTACTTCATTTTGGTTTCAATGATGATAATGATGCAGTTATTGACCTATTGTTTGTTCTTGATACTACAATTATGGAAACGTGAAGTGAATAAATACAATAGAGATGCTAAATATTGGTGTAACAAGTATTAGTTAAGAAATTTTTTTGAACTTAGAATCGCATCACAGAACAGGCTCTAGGGAACTGTACCAAGCAGGGAAACTTGCAGTGCTAGTATTGTTTGTTAATCAAATTGAATTAAATAAGTGTGTTGAATGGAAATATTTGGTCAATAAGTTTATTTGTAAGTACTTGAGAACATTGAGTAAGAAACCTATTATAAAGTTTCTAAAGTTATCTTAATATTATGAAAACCTGTTTCATTATTTAATGGATGTGAGAAGAGATACTTCTAATATTCTAATTCAATATGAAATTTTAAAATGTTCTAATTTGTGAGAGTAATATATTCTATGTATGATTTACATGAACAATGGCATAAAATGTTTTTGTACTGTAAAACTTAAGTCATCTGTCATTAATGTTTTTGTTAAATTATTTTACTGTTTTCTTTTTACATTGTGATTTATATTATTCATAATCATATATTATTAATATTTCTCATCTTGATTCATAGGCGATTAAACAATTACGCCGTGAAGTGGTGGATGGTATGCGAGCCCTTATGAAATTAGCCAAAGAAAAACAAACAGCTGGGATGCTTCCAATATGTGAGGATATGATTTCCAAGGTACAATGTAAATGTATATGTTATAATGTAAAAATGTAAGATATTCCGTGTAAATTGTATAAGAAAAGATAAATTAATCACTTAAAGATAAAATGAAGACCTTTGATAGCATATCTAAACTAATGTTCTATTTTGTTTGAGAAACAGACTTTTCTAGTGTAGGTGTTGTGGTAAGATATCTTTGGCATTTTTAAAATAATTAAAGATGTTGTCATTGCCAACAATATTTTAATTCAATAGCTGGTGATGGCTAAGCCATCGAAAGCTGCTATTGAATTAAAAAAAAAATATTGTTGGCAATGACAACATCTTTAAGACTTTTCTAGTCCAAAGTAATTACATAATAAGAACATTATACTAGTAATGAAACATAATATTGATGAACAACAAATAAAATTAGAAATATATTGTTATGACAAAGTAATCTTCAATGTTAATATGTGTGGTTGAGAGTTTTCTTTTAGATTTTTAAATACAGTATTTTAACACTGTGTGAAATTACACTATACTTGTTGCAGACACGTATCCTGTTAAGCTTGTGGGATCCTGGTTTAGTGGAAGAAGCTTTGTCATTTGTGGAGGAGCACAAAGTAGCTCAACCTGTTCCAGAGGAAACACTGGATGGTGCAGAAGAAGGTTTGGGCAGCTTAGAACTGTGGCAGCAACAAACCTTATCGCCATATCGACGAATCACTCAACAGCTCAACTTTGATTTGAAATCTCCAGATGTGGATGACTTAGTAACACCAGATAGTCCACGTTGCACTAGAAATTTTTGGAATCTTCCTACAAATGGGACAGTATCAAGGTTAAAGGGAACAGACTCAAATGTAGATGTTCAGAAAAGCTTGTCCCAGTCAGAATCTTCGCAGAGAGATGATCAGTTTGTTATATTCCCTGATGCAGATGGTGAGTACAAAGATGAAGAAATAGATTCTACGAATGAATTTAATTCAAAACCTGCTTCTCACAAAACTGGGAAAAATACAGATGAAATAGAGGTAGATGAACAAACACCAATTACGAATGGACTTGAAACAGACCCAGGGCGTAAGTTCTTAGATACTCAAGCTATGTGTAGCTCACCATCTGCTAATTATTACAAGCCAACTGATGAACCTGAGCCATGGGATCTTACTCAACTGAACATTGAAGCAAGTGTTATGTGCCTTGTGAGCAAAGTGAAATTTTTATGTGGACGTTGTGGAAGTCCAGCTGTACGATTAAGGTCTCAGCGAGGCATGGGCAGATCACGAAGTTTCCGCAGTGGCCTTGTATGCCACCAGGTACCTACTGAAGAAACAAATAGCCCTGATGGAGTTGTAACAGTGCAACCTACCAGTTCAGTTTCATCAAAAAATAGTTCTCAGGTTGAAGATATGAAAAGTATAGTTACAGATGCAGAAAAGGAGGGCTTAGTGAAAACAAATGAAGATACCATTGGGTTAAGTGCCACAATGAGCAGTGATGATGTGTTGAATAAGACTGTAGATACTGTACAAAAAGCTGTTAACGGAGCAGTAGTGAGAAATGGGGCTACTGTTCGAAATAAATTTACTGAAGGGCTCGATTTTGCATCCATTGTTGACTGGACATGCGAACTTCGCCCAAGTATGCGAAAACTCCGTCAGGCAATGGATGGACTATTGAAGACAGCTCGTCTAACTCACAGTGTTTTCAGAGTTCAAGAAGATAGTAGGGCTGCTCAGAAAGCCTGTAATGTTCGCTATCGAAGGGATGTGTGTTTCTCACAAGCGGTGAGTATCATATCAATGCTCTTCATTGTATAATTTAACTACCTACAAATAAAGATAGAATAGGTGGTTCAAATGAAGATGTGTTTCTCATGTTATTAGAACATACCGTATGTTGTGAAATACTGATTTAAGCCAATTAGCACAATTAGAACAGTGAATTTGGAATGAATCTGGAATTTCACGTCGTGAATAATTCAAAAAATATTGTATAAACCTTAATGCATTTCCTCCAAGATGAGCAATTTTGACCCTGTCAAAATGCATTGATTTTCTTCCATTTATCAGAAGTTTCATCACCATAAATAAATGTGTTAAATTGTTACCAACATTTTAGTTTAAATCTGCACTGTGAATACTAAAGACCAATGTACCAAATTATTAAAAGAAATTTGTGCATACTATATTTTTTGGTGTGAGCCAATGTGTAGGAATATTACACACTTTGAATGTTAGTCTTTGTGCCTTCAAGAGTCAACATCAATTTCACAAAGCTGTATCACCTATCTGTTATAAAATCAATGTTCAATTTCTAGTTAACATCACTGGTGACTGGATTGATGGCTAAACTTTGGTGTCAGAAACCTGATCCAACATTTCTTATGGTTTTGACTACTTTGGGACCCCTTGTCTCCTTCGAAGGATTGTTGAGTTATTATGGCGATGAAATTGATATGTGGGGTGATATGGCAGTAGCTGTTGAAGATCTTGTGACTGTGACTTTCATACTTTCTCGCTGTGCGGCAAATGCTTCCAGCAGCAACAGTAGTGATGCAAATACAATTAATAATAACAGGTATAGTAATTTTGTGTCCTTTAAAATAAAAATAGTTATGTAGCAGTAAATGTGTTAGAAGTAGGTATGTAAACAAAATCCACATTGCTAAATAATATTTCTCATCAAAAGTTTGCTTTCAATTTGACCATTTGTCATGTACATACAATCAGCATGACCATAAATACTTTCCATTTTCTCTTAGGCTGATATACAATTAGGTCACATTACTTTGCATTTTGAATTTTTGAGTTTTTTATTAGTAATTTCGAAACATTGAGCAAAATATGTGGAATATTTTGAATGTAAAAATTTGACTCTTTCACCCTTTCTAACTTTTTTGTATTTTGAATTGTGTTAAAGTTGTTGAATATAATTTTGATGGAATTTATTGAAATAGTTTGTCACTACAGTCAGTGTTCTTTTAGCAACGAGAAATTTGGCAGTTGCGTAGTGTGGCCCCTGAGTCATTATTCCATTTCTAGTAACAAAGTCCTTATTGACCATAAAAAATGTGACATAATTAATTTGATACCTAAGTATTCTAGTATTTCTTAACATCTATGTACCGAGAGAGATGACTCAGGGCATCAACTGATGTGGGAGGTCATGTCAACAAATGACTGGGAGGTCCTAGGTTTGAGTCCCGATGGTGGCCGGATTTTCAATACTAGCTTGTTAGCTAGGTGGAATTCAGTCGCTGCCTGGAGGAGAATTCCGGCAGCCAGCTGCTCTGATCGATAATTTTCCGAGGTTTCCCGATCAACACCAGGCGAATGACGGAGCAGTACCCTAACAAATGGGCTATGGACCGCACACAATCTCACCTTCCTCTTTCTTGTCCTATCCTCACTGCTTTCACACATGCGCACACACACATGCCAGGAGACCCGTCGGGAGCTAAGAGCTTGTCCTGGCTGGGGCGGTGCCCCGCAGGTTGGAGATACCTCGTTGGGAAAAACCTGCTAGCCGATGGTAGTTCAGCACCAGATCTCACTGTACAGTGGGGGAAAGACCACCACCAACTCCTGAACAAAAATGTGCATTACACTTACGGAACTAATGATCATGGTAGTTGACATGCTTGGAATCACTAAACAATCAATTAACATCTATGTGTAAAAATGTTTATTTTGTGAACCTGTAAATATGTAATTATAAAAAAAATCTGAAACATGAAGGTACAATTTTCTGGCTCTAATTTGTTTTTTACAAATGCAATTGAGTGAGTAATTAATATTTAATTAGGCGTTCTTGTTGGCCTTTCTTGTTTAATGGATATTTTGCATTGATTCTTCACTAAAAGTCACGTTACACTCCAATAAGAAATAGGAGGATTGTGAAAAGTTTTAACCAAGAAAGCTGTAGAGAAAGAAAGAAATTTGCAATGCTTAGTGTTCAGCAACTGCACTTCTCATTATCAGACTGTCATGTTAACACATTATGGACCAAAGCTTTGGGCTGCTTTTCAATAGTTCACTTTTAGTACATGTAAATGCACAAACTTATAGTTTTGCCACTTAGCATGAATGAAGAACTGCTAGAAAGCCTTTGACGACATTAAATATTTTTAGTAAAACAATTAACCCTATTATTTATTAATAAATAATAGTTCACTGTCCTGTGATACATATGTGGTTCAACAAAACATAAGAGTGGATGGTTTTACTTGTGAACCACATGTGGGTCACAGACATTTACAACTTCTATGGCAAATATTTCCATGGATCTCCCAGTTACTGCGGAGATTTTGGTGTGATCTTTCTAGGACGGTCACAGAATTTACAAATATACCGGGACATGCCAAAAAATATTTTTATTTTTGAGAATCACTACCACAGTCTTTACTTTCAGTAACATCTGTCATTGTTACAAGAATTATTGTCATTCTTATTTTTTTATTACCACGCTTATGGAATCTTATACATTGATCACAATTATCTTCAATATCAATTTATCAAGATGTGATTTGCAGAAAATATCTTTTTCTAGAAGATGCCCATGCCCCACCACACTGCTATTTTTGTAAGTGTAGCAGCCTTCATGGGTGTAAACAAGTCATTCCAAATGCCAAAATACTTAAATTATAATTCCGTCAAGAAGGCTGTGTAATGTACTAGAATACATAAACAATACAAAACATTCAATGGATCAATATGCCAAAATAGTCTATTAAATAATATACTAATAATAAACTAAACTATTTTCAAACCTCACTATTTTCAGTAAATAAACTATTTTCAGTCCTCCGTTGTTGGTGGGGAAAATATTGTATTTATTTGCCTACAAAATGAATTCACTTGTAATTTTCTTGGTATTTGAAATATCTGGAGAACTTCTTGAGGGGAAATGTTTTAGTTTCAGATGTGGCAGTGGGGTCCAGTCTCAGCAACAACCAATGCCTCGAGTGGTTGGCTCACGAACAGCATTGACTGTGTACCTTCCTGTCCCTGATAATGTCCATTCGTTACTACCTCTTACATCTCCCTCCACACCAGCAGTGTCCTTTAATGTTACTCCAGTGTTCTTTAATGTGGGCATTAATGAAATGGCTACCCTTGCGGAAAGTCTGGGTAATACGCGACCTCAAGACAAAAGTAATCTGGATAATTATGAAAGGCTGAATGAATACTACCACCGCTTTCGGAAGTTACATTTACCAGTTGAACCTCCTGGGCAAAGAGGCAAGTGTCTTATAATTTTTATAGTGCTTGATGTACTTGATTAGTTGTAAACATAGCTAAATAAATTATTTTTGTATAATTTACCTCAGTTTAGGGTTTTATATCTACTACATAAACTTTTATTAAAATGTGTATAAATAGAAATAACTAGTGGTGCTACAGAATGGCACAGACTTTCCTGTATTAGTTTCCTATTTCCTTTGGTCTCGGCTAGCTATTTGGACTTGCTACATACTCTTGCCAGCTGTCATTTATCACTGCCCGAAGTACATTTTGTCGAAATTTTCTTAATTTTTTGGTTTGCTAATAGTAGATTTGAAATATTATTTTAAGCATGTTAAAGAACAGAAAATCCTCGCCCTAAATAGCAATTTTCTTTGAAGAGTTTTGAAAGATTGAGTTAGGAAAATGGCATTTAAGCGCTACTATAATTTGAAAAATTAGCTCTTTTTTGCAGAAAATGTTTGAGTTTTTGAAAAACTTCATTTGAAGTCACTTGAAGCACTTCAACTCACAAATACAATAGTGTTTACAAATTGCTGGAAACATGCATATGTGTGAGAGATCTTTCAAAAAAATTACATTGGTGTAATTACAAAAATAGTTAAAAACAAAAAAATACCCCATAATGATCTTCATATTTAATAGCGCAATTGGCACTATCCCTTCGAAACGTTTGAAGAAAACATTTAGAGCCATTATTGAGAAAATAGCATTTGAACGTTTCTGAAAATCCAAGCAAACGTACTCATAAATATAATAATGTAAAAGAATAGTGCAAACTAATGTTCATGTCGTCTCATAGAATACATTGAGCACTATCTCTACCAAAAGTTTAAAGAAAAAATTTGGAGCTGTTTTTGAGAAAGTCCTCTTTGATGTTTCTTTTTTTTTAATTGCATTTATTGCACATAATATTTCCCGAAAACTACTAAAACTTTCAAAAAGTGTACTTGTCCTTAATGGAGAACAAATTTTATTTGGAGGAAAAATCTGTGTTCCATTTTGTAGTTGTAGGAAAACTCCCAAAAAATTTCAAAAATTAAAATTTCGAAAATTCAGTGTTAACTCTGAAAATCAGACCTATGGTTTCTTTGTAAGTGTATTTTACTCTGTTTCTAAAAGAAATTTAAAGAAAATATTCGTGAGAGTTTTTTTTTGAGAAAATGTTGGGGTTTCATGTAAAATATCCCCAAATTTTGAAGAAAGATTTTCTAAACATCAGCGCCTTGAGTCGAGCCAGATCAACCAGAGAACATCCATTTTGGAAAAAAATCATGTGTATGGTTTTGGCGCTAGTGGTTTTCACAGACCACGATGGCCAAGAAGTGAACATTCACTTCTCGGCCTTCCTGACGGTTGGACAGGGCGTTAAGGCGCTGACATTCGACAATAAATATAGTTGATAGGCTCTTATGTTTGCCTGATGATGTAGACAACCTTTCCCCTAAACATGTTGCAAATCATGTGCAACTCGAATAATAAAGAACAGTTATGTAACAAATTGTCTGTCTATAAAGTAATTTGGGACTTCTCACCTTCACAAGAATTGGTAAAGAAATATTCCTGAAGGCAGTCTGTTTTCAACCTTTCAAGTAATAATTTTGTTGAAGGATTTAGTGAGTTGTCATAGGTTTCTAAATGTTTTTGTTTGGGAGTTGATAATGTCTTAAAGGTAACGAAATCCCATTTGTTAACAACCTAGTCTGACGATATATTTCCTAGGATTTCTGTTGGAGTTGTCTTTGGATATTTTCAAGTCGTATCCTCTCAGGTGGCAGTTGTAATTTCTGCTAAACATGTTGAATAATTCTTTGTCAATGTCTTATTACCTAGTTACCTTCATTGGCTAAATAAATTAATTTTTTTTTTCTGAAACATTTTTCTTAGATTTATATAAGTAGATGTGATGGTATTTTTATCTGTTTTGTATTTTTTGAGAATATCTATAACTTTAACAAAGTTATGTGACCAAATAGTTGAACCATAGTTTTGTAAAGGTCTCGTATGACTCGTGTATGTTTTTTTTAAAACATATTAGGAGTGATGTTTATAAATTATTTCTTAATTAGATAACTTCATGTGATAACTAAATATTAGTAAATTAATTACTGTTGATTTACAATCCACGAATCCATGTTGCTCTTCAATAATAATAGAATTTATATTTTTTGGGATCTTTTTAGCAATTGTAGATTCAAATAATTTGGGAGATAACATTTAAAACTGAAACACATCTGTAGTAACATCAGATTTGTGAATTGATTTTGCATAGCTTTCTTTCCTTGTATCAGGGAAAATTCATACCCTTGAAGTTTTATTGTATTAATTGCCTAGTGGTTTACATAAGACTTATATTTTTATTTTATTTTATAGTATGCAGAAATAGGTTTTGTCCCATATCTTAAGCTTCACATAATATTGAATAAAAAATAGAAAAATACAAAATTAATAGCGTGGCTAAAGTCAAATCCTGTCCGTCCACACTTGACACAAGTTCTGCAAAAAATACTGAGTACTGATGATCAAAGTTTTGTGGCATAACAGGTAATGGAAAATTGCAATGATCCTAAATAATACAGACCTTCCGTTTTTTGATTACAGTAACTATAAGCTTACAGCATTTGTATTGGCTCATCAATTTATTTGTACATGTAATGAATTTCTTCATTTTACAGAGATAGTAATATTCGAAAAACAAAATTATAATATTATAAATGATAATACTATAAATTAATATAAATAGAAATGGATTATACAGATATATGGAATGAAGCAGAATGTAACTAAAGCTTGGTTTTACCTTTTTTAGTACTCTCACATCTTGAAGCAATTGACTGTTAAACTTTTAAATCCCCCCCCCCCCTTCCAAAGATATTTTACAGAAGTTTTGTTGAAGTTGGTATCTTCAATGTTAATTGTATTATTTGGCTTGCAACATAAGTGTCGAGCCAGGATTGTTATTCAAATTAAGTGTCACCACAACTATTGTAGTGACTTGTCAGGGCAGTAACAAATTGCTTGAACACAAAGTGCTTGGAATATCCACATTGAAATTTACACTTCTAAAATTTATATATTAAAATGAATTAAAAATATGTTATTATTAAAATTATTTTTAATTATTTAAAATTAAAATCCAACATTTTTAATGTATCGTAAATTGTTAGCTCTGGAACTATTATTTTTACTTATGGACGTTCATGGGGAATTTCTATCTTAATATTATTTGAATTAAGTTTCTCTTTGTTGGTATATAAATTATTATTAAAAAGAAAGAAAAAGACGTTTGATATTAAGTTTCTTGTATCAAGTTTTGAAGGGGTTTTTGATATTCAGTTTGTCTTTTTTTGCCCCTCTTTCTTTCTTTCTTGGAAAAACAAAAAAGTGTTTGGTTGATATTCAGTTTATCAATCATTATCTTATTTTGTTAAAAAGACCAGAGTTACCAGCCCTTCATATCTCAAAAAATTATATTATCCATAGAGTCAATAGATAATTAAATAAATTATGGTTTAAATTGAGTTTTTCTTCTTTTTCTCTTGCTTTTCTTATTTTATTTAATTTGTTGCATTTAGATTGACACAGTGCGTTCCAGTTCTCTTGAGAACATTTGGTGCTTTGCACTTGGGAGTAATCCTTCATTTACCAGCGCACATAGGAGTTATCCTCCATTAACACTATCTGTCACATCTTGTCTCAATCAGTTGTCAAGAGAACAGCCAGGTAGCATATCTGCGCACACGCCTCTTCCACCATGTGGTCCTGCATCTACCCAGTGGCCTGAATAGGGAAGGACTTAGAATGGGGGTAGGGTATAGGATGCTTCACCTAGCTCCTATGAAGCAGGCACACTAGTTTTCTTGGAAGAAATTGCACATGAGCTTGTCCGTGAATCAACCCGGACCTCCTTGGTGCAAGGCAAGCAACTTCGCTCTGGGCCATGAACACCAATTGCATTATCATATTTTGAGTTAACAGGCTCACTATTTTGCTAATAAATAAACATTATCTTTGCCATATATTGAAACTTCATATCTGAATTTGAGGGTAGTAGGTTGCCTGTTTAATTGATATTATAGCTTTCCAAAATGCATTAGAATTAGATTTATTGTTTTTTCAATGTTGCGTGTACATTTATTATAGCAATGTTTTTGGATGGGTTTCATTTTGTGGTGTAAGTTGTGATTATAATTTAGAGTTGTCAGGTGACATTCAACTGCATTCTTTATGAACTTCACTTTCCACAATGGTGTTCATTAATATACAAACAAGATTTGGTAAAGGTAATATCATTCTATTGTTTAATGTGAATGAAACCAAGAGAGTTGGATAGCATGTCAGTTTTTAAGACTAGGATGACTTTAATGTTTGAGTTTTAATTTACACATTAATGTGATTACAGGCCCTTCATGTGCTCCATTACAGCCATCATTAGCTGATTTAATGGAAAACTTAAGGGTAGTAGTTCATACCAAGCAGAGCAAGAATGTTGATGTACTTCATGTGTCTTCTCGGATATGCCGCAGAATGAAAGGTTAGTAAATTGAAAGGTCGTTTCCCTACCCAAAAAATCTTATAAATATTTCAGAGATTTTTTTGTTGTACATCTAAAACACTTTTCTTTTCATAGGTTTGCGGTTCACAAGTTGTAAAAGTGCAAAAGACAGGACTGGTATGTCTGTAACACTAGAACAATGTCAGATACTTATGTCTGAGTATGATTTGGCTGAGCATGAATTTCAACGTGCGCTTGACTGCATGAGAAGGTAAATATGAAAATTAATAAGTTGTACTCTGTAAAATAAAAGTTGTGTTGATCAAACGTTTGTGAGAAGTGGATCAAAAGATTGAAAGGAACAGTGTTTTTTATTTTCTTTTTAAATTTTTTTTAAAATTTATTTTCATACCATAAAAATAAATGTGTTAAGAGTAGTAATAAAACACATACCAGTCATTAGATATTTATCGTCATACACAATTCATTTAGTGGATTACATTAATTGTTTCTACATTTTTTGAGCACACTATCACAGTAAATATTTAACTCTGTGCCTGTATAAACTTTTTCTCATGGAGACGAGCATTATTTGAGATGTATTTTGTATCAATTAATTGTACATAATGCGTTTCTTATGTATAGAAAGTTTCTTTATTAAAGTCACAAGTCTTTCGGCAACTTGCTTTTCTCACTTTTTTAGACTATTTTCATTCTATTGTCTCTTTTGCTCACTTTTTCTGTTAAAACTCACTATTCTCACACTTTTACAAAAATTGAATTATTGTATGATGTTGCAGTCCCGTGAATTTAAAACCGATATTTTAATTTTAGTGGAACTTTCCATGAAGACCCTGGGACATTCCAAATTTTCACCAAAATGTCTCAATTTTTGATTAAATTTTGTTGTTGGATAATGTGAAGGACGTTAAAGACAATGGTGCAGGTCTCATGAAGGTTAAAAATCCTAAATTTTCTAAAAGATAGAGATTATTTCCATTAATGAAAAATTGAAGAATTATAATAATAATAATAATAATAATAATAATAATAATAATAATAATAATAATAATAATAATATAATAAAATATTTATTTGGCTACAATTGGCTGATTGCCAGGTGGTAGCCATAACCCTACAGTTTTAAAATATATGTACACGTACAATTCAAAAACAATTTACAATACAATCCTTTCGAGCATATACACCCAATATATAAATATACACAGACCTGTAAACATCTATAGCACACATATACATATATACACACACAAATACATATACATATACACACAAACACATACATATACATATATTCATACATACATATGCACTCACACTCCCACTCTCTCACGCACACGCACGCTGTCGCACACACTCTCACGCTCATGCTCTCTCACACACTACTATGATACTTGTGGAATGAATACACCTCCCATTTGGTGTTCTAAAGAAACCTTCTTTGCTGATTTCAAAAAGCTTAGTGATTTACTTTTTATGGCATTTATCTTCATTTTATTAATGGTAACCTAAGACTCTTCCCTGGGGGACTCCGGACAGAATTAAAGTTTCCTCTGAATGTTCATGTCCAACTCGAACTTGTTGAACCCGATTTTTCAGGAATTACCGTATCCATGCTATTACGCGATTCCCAACTCCCGTAGATGCAATTTTCATAAGTAGTATATTGTGCCTAACAAGATCAAATGCTGTTGAAAAATCTATAACAATTGTCTGTTCTCTTTCCCGAATCTAAAGTTTCAGCAATATCTTGAGACATAATAATTTGGCTTTCACAAGAGAAGGATTTTCGAAATCCATGTTGCGCTTCGTATAATCACCCTAATTTGTCCCATTCCCGACGCAAGAACTCAGCTACCAGATGTTCCATTTGTTTGCAAATCACTGACGTTAGGCTTCCGGTTTTAAATATTGGAACCACTATAGCCCTTTCCAATCGTGAGGCACGCTACAATAATTTATGCTTATTTGAAATAATCACATCAAGTATGTAATCATTGGTTCCTCTCCAATTTTTAATAGTTCTCCGGCGATACCATCAAACCCTAGAAATGTATTACTTACTATATTGCGAATCCTTTGTCTAATGAGTAGTGGTTGTACTCGAAATTTTTCTCCTTCATTTGTTCCGAAAGTACTGGGAGTATCCGATCCTAACCCGAATACCAATTGGAAATATGCATAAAAATGGTCGGCTTTTTCTTTATCTGTAAAAATACTGTACAAATTTCCCATTTTCGTCTTTCAGAGGCGGAATAGATTATTTGTTACCCATTTTTTGTTTTATGTATCTATAAAAATTTCTCAAACTTGTTTGCTTGTTTCATAGAATTTTACGGAGATAATTTTCTTGCGCTATACGCTTTTTGCTGCATTAATTTGTTACGTAGATCTTTGAAGAGAGGCACGCGGAGAAGACCTTTCTTGCGATTAGCGTACGCTTTTCTGACTTTTCTTTTTAGTTTTCTGATATTAGCCGTGTAATACGCTGGATCACTATTTTCTTTAACTGTCTCGTGCCCCTCCGCCGTTGACTCGCCACTCATCGCCGCTTTCTTCCCGTAGCGTCATCTCGTCGTGTGTTGCCATCTCGTTCCTCGCCACCGTGTCCCCTACCGCCATGTTAGTCACCACTTTTCTTTCTCAAACAGTACACGGCACGGAGTTGCAGACACGCGAATAGAGCTGTCCTAAACTGTCTGCTCCTCTTCGATTTAAGTGGAGCCCGTCGCGACCAAAGTCGGAATCTTGCACCCAGGAGTTGGGATCAACGAAATTGATCTTATGTGTTTCGGCAACCCAGCTCATTAATTCATTTATGTGGCCAATGCTCCTCCAGGACATGTCTCTGCGTCATAGAACACTACTTACTACGATAGAAGCGTGTGAAAACTTTAGGAGTTCCAAGGTCGTGATTTTCCACAAAACGCTTCAATAGCTCCGTACGGATACCCGGCAAACATTCCACGCGCAATTCGCTGTCTTGTTTTGCCTCGTGTTGCATGATAGTCTCCTAATACAAGACAGGAGCCTCTAGAGCTCTCATCTGCAGGTTGTGGCACGGATGGAGTATCAGTTTTAGCTCTCAACTCCATCAATTGCTCATTAAGGGCTTTATTCGCCACCTGAAGATCTGCGATTTCTCTTCGCGTGGATGTCAGCTCTTTTCCAGGCGTTGCACATAGTTGATCTTGCATTTGGGACAAACCCATCCTTCACCATTCACCATTTCCTCTTAATGTTGCCACAACTTTTGTGGAACCAATCGCCACAGGATTCGCATCGCCAGCCCGAAGAGAGGTTCTTGCCGCACCTAAGACACACGATTTGGATTATTTTATCACATGCACAAGCCGCAGTACTGGCCACTGGACCGGGATTTTGTTAGATTCCTCCGATCACTAGCAAAATAGCTATCACCGTCGCACTCAAGGACACCGCTCCCAGCGCACCGTCACTGCGCCACATGGCCGGTTCCCGGCAGGAGCACGCCTCACACGAGGAAAGGCACCCGGCTCACGCGCCTATCTCGCCCAGTACTCTTGCAGGTACGAACCCATCCTAATCCTCAGGAGCTCTTGAAAGGAACGTCTGCACCCAACGACCGCCACTAGACTGAGAATATTATCATTCTCTTAATGTTCCCATAATGGAAGTACAATGAAGTAAAATGTTTAAATGCAAAGATTTTGAACAAAATATATTTTCAGTTTGTTCCTCTACACAATGAAAAACTTAGATTTTTCATTGTGTAGATCTGGAAATGGAAAAAATTGTTTTTAACATTCTTAAGCTTCATTCTTTAGGAAGGAGGGAGGGGGCACTTTCAACAATTTTTGATGTCTAAATTTAAATTTTAAAAAAATTTGTAATTTCTTGTAGTATTAATCAATCAAGTTGTGCATATTATTTTAGGTATGTGTCTTTGTCTTATATGCCACTCTGCAATTGCGATCTGGCTTTTACGATTCCCACAGCAAGAAGCTCATGGTCTTAATATGACCAAACCTGTTATATTGCTTTCAAATTCTATTCATGGACCAACTTGCATGTTTGCGAACAGTATCCTTTCCATCAATTATGAAGGGTGGGAAGTGAAAGATAACATGCACTGCCTCTGGTGTGTCATGCGCTCTGAAGTTCAGTCTTTCTGATTACTGTAGACTTTCAACCTATCCCTCCTCCAGTCGTTTCCCATGCAGCTGAGTGATATTCATTGCCTCCCCGGCACATCACAGACCAAGGCCCAGCTCCCTGAAAAGCTGCTTGATGAGTAACAGCTGAGCAGACCTGATCTAAAATGTCAACTGTCGGTGCTTGATTTTCCTCCTCAATATTGTCATCGCATTTGACAAGAGTGAAAATTTCTTCATTAATTATTTCAAACTGATCATAATAAAAGCCCAATAAAATAACCAACTCCCTTTACATTGATTTATTTTTGATGGTTTATTTTTCAAGCATGTCTTCTTTTCTTCGATTTCCTTTTCTATCACTGCCCAGTACTACCCTGTGATCGTTCCATGTATTCATTTCCAAATTGCTGTGATCCTTATGTCGGCTTCATGCAGGGAAGAAACATTCCCGTGAACGTCACCTTCTTGAATCTTTTGCATCAGGGTGCATTGAACATGGTCTAGTAACAAAACTGCTTTTGCAGGTACTCCTTTTCTTTTGTATCTTGAAAACTTGTCTGTTGAAGGAATGAAATCCATTAAAAAATCTCTGAAAATGTCACTGGTCATTCCTGTACTTTTCTGACGAGTATTTTACAGGAAGAGCATATTTTCAGCTATTTTAAAGGCTCTAAGATTTTTAGACTTTCCAAATATTGCATGGTCGATTTTGAAATGTGTTGCATGATTGTGGAAGTTATTCAGTCCACCTGTTTTCCCACTTCAAAAGATGGAGCTCTGCCCTATTTGTGAATTCTTCTAAGTTCTATCTGTCTTGATAGAGGATATAGGGAATAGTTTCTCAGGTTTTTGAAACTGCACTATTTTCAGTGAGCTAATTTCCTGGAGAAGTTGATTTTAAAAATCGTGTTTGATGAGTCATTTTTGTTTTGGAGGAATTATTGTGCTTCAGTTTAAATTTATCCTTTTCAAATCTCACACTTGTGAAATGTATAAAAGCTACAATGCTGAGAAACTTGCGACTGGAAGGAAAGAAATAAGAATGAAATCTTTTGTATTTTCAAGAGTTGGTACAAAATACCTTTTTTATAAATTAAAAAAAAAAAAATTGTGTTATAGTGAAGGAAGCCGACGGGAAAACACATGTAAGAACACTGGTGTTCGTAAATATGCTTTCAACAGCCTGCAGCTACTTACATTACCCAGATTGTATAGACCTCCAGCGGGGACATATGGCTCAGCACAAACATGAAACTTGAAAAGTTTCAAGGTAACTGTCATAAACTATCTAGAAAATAATAATAAATATTGAAGCTTTACAATTTTATTAGTTGAAACTCTGTGAATGCATTTTAGACTTTGCATACGAGTTCTGGGCATTTTTGTTCTAATTTAATATTACAGATCTTTATATACTGCTTTAAACAACAGTTTTGTGTGTTTCACTTTAAAACCTATTTGTTTTGGTATATGTAGTGAAACCATGATAACTTAATTCTTGATTTTTCATATTTTGTTTATCCTCTTAATCTTTTCTATACTCGCCCCTATTTGTTGAATAATGAAAAAATGAAAGTTTTGGTGATCTTTGCACTACAAGCTTTCATGGGAGCAGTGTGGAATTCCTATAAATTTTGCTCAATGAGGCAATTTGTTTTTGAGAATGTGCCACACTGTCCTATTCCTTTTTCCTTGCAAAAAAATGTGGCCTTGGACACTGCCAGTATAAAAGAAATTTTACATATACCTGTTCTGTGCTACTCTTGCACTGCACCTTTTTGCTAAACATTTCTGTATCCCTGCACATCTGTTGCCAGATGCATGTGTTTCTTGTTCCTATAATAAGCTGCGAATACAATTTTGAAGATTTACAGAATTTATTTGTTTGTTTTTTTGTTTTTTTACAGGGAAATATACTCCATTTTGCAGTTGAGCAAAATGTTAACTTCGTGCTTGGCTGCGTCATTTACTAGTTTACTTCAATTATTGTAAAAATACTTTTTATGATGCTATACAAATTTTAACCTGAAGCTAAAATGCAGTGTACAGTGGAGTCCCTTCTTAACATTTTGATAAGCAATTTATTGCATAAATAATTTGACATCAGAGTGAATTGAAAGGTTTCTAATGTTAAATTACAAAACATGAATGTTGTATTCTTAATATGAATGAATATTAATAACCTTAGTTTTGACTGCATGACTGAGTATGTATTTATTGTAGTGTTTAGTAAGGATTACTTAGTTAAAAATTTCTTGGTTGTGCAAACTTCCTTTAGTGCATTAACATGCAAGTAAAGACCAGTAGAAAATCATGTAATCTATCAAACTTATTTACTATTATTGCCATGAAGTAATTTGTCCAATTGGAGTTTATAACATTAATTCGACTTTGCCAGATCGTCATTCCTCAGTGAGCATCATATATTTCATTGTACTTAAAAATAATTCCCAATCATAATGTTCCCCTGGACAGACAATCGTTATTGACACCAACTCAAAAATTTTCAAATTCCGTATGTGCCACTCTTCAGATAATCATGCAAAAGTCTGATTATGTGTGTATTGGATGAAAACGAATAGAAATGTATGTTGTATAGGAATGTATATGCAAATGCATCAGTGTCTTGACTTTTGGTTTCTGGAGAGTCTGTTCTGAGAAACCTGTGTGATTGTGTGTACAGGATGTAAAAAAATTCATATGACAAACTTCTAAGGATTTGTGGAATCCGTAAAAGTCTTTAAGGGTTACTTGTGACAGGAAATGTACTGTTACGACGCACCCTTAGAGTTTCCATAAATTAAAAAGATTGTGGTATGCCTGTATAATATAATAACCCCATATTTTTTCAGTGAGGTATTTAAAAAATGTTTTGCCTTGTTTAGGCAGTATTTCTTAATGCTCCGAATACTGTCATTTGAGATCCAAGAAGTATGTAGACACATCATTATGTAATTTTGTTGACTGACTATGAATATTACTGAAATTGAAGGATTCTGCAATGGGATTTTACTAGGCTATCCTCTGAGTGGAAGGAATAACTTAAAGCATCAATATAAAATATTGAGACTAAAACTTTCAGAAGTTTGTTATATGTATGCATTTGTGCTCTATAATATAACCTTTCAATTGTCAAATGACAACACTACCTGTATTACATGTATTAAAGTGGCTGTAAGAATAGCAAAGTTAAAATTTTCTTGCTCCCTGCCTATGTATCGACCATACAGCTACAATTTTGCACTTTTATTTTGCATTTTGTACTGATCTAAGGGTAGGCAGGGAAATTTTTTAACTGTATTGTTTTAACGGTTACTATAGTGTGTATGTCTGTGTGCTTATATATGTGTACTTCTTTTAAATAATATATTTTCTCGCAATGTGAACTTTGCATATGGGGTAATCCAAACTATGCTGTTTCTTCTAGTCAAAATTTTACCTTGAGCAACTCTGGTCATTTAATTATTTACTATTCAATGGGTCTGTTTCTTAAATTGTGTGCTTATGCTCTGTATGAACATAATGTTAAAAACGCTCATCTGAAAATGTGAATTATCTTTATAAGCTTGTTAATATTTTACATGCTTGAAAAGGCAATTTCAAATCTGTCTTCAAAGAAGTTCAGTTTGAACAAAAAATCTTATGGACTATGTGCTTTACTCTGAGGATGAATTAAATGTTCTTTGGGGAACAATATTGATAATAATGGTACAAATATCTCACTGAATAGAATACACATAATGGTGAACGAATTCTAATGTGAAAATCAGCTGTGTATGTGATGTTTATTAATTGTTCTTTGTAATGGGGCAATGCTTTTAGTTGGTAACCATGTTCTTCCTTTGGTACACTTATATTTGATATCATTCATTCGCAATAGAAAATCAAAATTACTGTTGGAAGAGTAGCATTGTATTCTTTGCAGTGTTAAAGTGTGTTTTAATGAAAATCACATAATGTTATTAAGTACAGTAGGTAATTAAGCATTTTGTTGTTGTTGTTGTTTTTTTACGGTGTCTTTACAAGTATGAGCTACAGTGTTCATTTCATAGTCCTGATGAATAGATCTGTTTGCATTACAGATATTAGGGAATTTTGTGAACACTGACATATTAGTATTTGCTTCATCTTTGATCAAACTAAATAGCATTATAAGGTGAAGTAACATTTCTCTTTATCTATATGCTCGAGACCAGAAAGTAAATTACAAATATAGTCTGAAATTTAGTCTCAGAAATGGAGGAAAACTTTCATTTGGTGGGACACAGTTTTCTTTTATTGAATTTTGAACTGGAATCATGTACTTGGCGAAGAGTAACAAAGAATGTTAATTTGAGATTCCACTGTAATTCAGGGAAGTAAATACCAATTTTTAAGCAGTTTATCAAGAATTGTTGATGTTAATATATATTCACAAATCATTGTCAGTGTTGCTTTTTTGCATGTACAAAACTATATTTTAAAGCAAAATGCCTGGGTTTCAGAGAAGCTTTTGATATTTGATATATCGACGATAGATTCCAAACAAAATACATTTTCTCTTATTTAATTTTATTTAGTAGGTCTTACTCGCTATATTAATTGTGCAGAATATAAAAAAGAATCCTATTTGATATTGAAGTTCAATCAAATGGGTATTATTTTATTATTAGGTATTGTGGAGTATTATCTTACTTGATGGTGAGCATAGGTGTCGTTACTTAACAAAATTTACTGCACAACATTTTATCTAATCTATTTGCATATTTAAGGAATCTTCCTAAATTTAAACCTCTTACTAAATTTGAACTTCATGTTTATCAGTCATGGTCAAATATTGAATATTTACCCAGGAATTAGTTTCCTTAAAGTGCAAATTTATTTTATTTTTCACAGTCAATGCAATTGATTGTATTAATATTTTTGTGATGCTTTTGAGACCCAGGTTTTTTGTATTGTTGATATTTTTATATAATTGTTATTATTTTATTACACATTATCATTTATTGCACATTGATTACAAATCTTGTCTTGTTCTTTAATATATTAACTTTTTTGTGCCTATTTATAGAATTGGGAACAATTTACATGATTTTTGTATATAGGCCTGTACATAGAATACTGTTATATCACACAGTTATGTGACAAATGATTTGTATTTTATAATTTTCTGTGTATATAAAAAATGTTGAAGAATGTTGCCCAAATGAAGTCAATGAGTTTTGAAACGTCTCTGCATGTTGTGTTGATATGTATCAATAGTGTAATTGAAAGCACAAGTATGGAAATGGCCTAAGCCTGACTTGAATGGAAAAAAAAAAAAAAAAAATGTGTTTGTTGATTGAGATAAAATACCTTGGTGCTAAAAAATGTGTACCCTACCACTGGAAGTTAACACATTCTTTAGAGAACTAAAAGTAAAATAACTTTTTTCAGTTACGTTGTATGCTGATTTTAATTTTTATTATTCTACCTTTAATCCTTTAAATGTCCTCATGAAAAAGGAATAACAGTTATGAAAATACAAACTGGGAAGTCAATTGAAATAGTGTCCTGACATATTGTGCTAGTTGTAAAGTACAAAAGAATTAATTTTCATTGTTCATGGTTTCATGATTACAGTTCCCTATCTACTGAACTGCTGTGTGCTGTCGATGAAGAAACTACACATGCTTGTTGAGGGTGATATATTAATTTCTCTGAAACGCTTCAAAAGCAACCTTTTCATGTCTTCCTTTTACAACTAACTTTCTTTTTCAATCTTCATGAACACCTTTTAAATGAAAAAAATATTTCAACAGAAGAGAGACTCGAAGAAATAAGTATCGGTATAATATGTGCCACTTTTAGAATACCGCACTTCTTTGAAATACTTTTGTCTGAAAAAAATTTTTAGAAATAAAATTGTGCACCTACATATTACTAATTGTTACGACATGAAGAATTGGAATAGAACATTTGGCTTTAAATTTATTTTAGAATTGAGCTATGTGTAGTAGTTAGTTTTAGGAACTTTCTGTATTTTTAACTTTTGGAATTAAAATTTTCCGGAAATATGTGATGAAACGTTTTATTTCAATTCACATAAGTAATGTGAAAAATGTATATGTTAATTATTCATTTAATGTTGAAAAAAATGAAATGTAATATTTCTTTCTCATACATAGTATTCAGTAATTTCTGAAGTAAATTTGCTTTGCTTACAGGTTACTTTATCAATTCCTTTGTTTTAGCATGTACAACTTCTGTTTGGTTCTCTTCCTCACATTTACATGTGTTATTCTTCAGTTCTGAGAACAGGGCATGGGCCGAGATCGAGCCCATGCATTGGGGGTTCAGGTACCAGTAAGTTAACCCCTCACCCATCGAGGCCCCGACCGCGTTATACGACTGATTAATCCACAATTGCGAGGAAACTCAAATATAAGTAATTGTTGGAAAATTCCGAGTGCGCATTCACAAACATCTATGCCTAAGACGGGATTAGAACCTGCGACCCTTCAAGTTGAGGCAGCCATAGCGACCTCGCCCAGTCGGGCCGATGTCGGCAGCTTTGGAGTCCCGTGGAGCAGGGTGGCTCACCGCTTCTGAGGCTGCGGCTGATTGTACACCGGCGAGCTGATAAGACGGCCAATCGCGCTCCGGACGCGCTGAGTGCCAAGGCCTGCTCTACAATCTACGCCCGAATTCCGATTAAAAGGCGTAGCTACATTCTCGGGGAACCCGATGTAGAAATTCCAAATGAGACCCCTCATTGCTTTTGCCATCTTTATTGGGGGTCGGAGGGCGTCAGTGCTGAGCACCGGTTGCACAAGCCTGGCGAAGACTCTACTCCGTTGTGATCACGGGCGTCTCTTGTGGGGGACACGTCCCCCTTAATAATTTTACGTTCATATAATTTTAATTTCATTTTCTTTCTAAACACTTTCAGTATAACGTATTATAACCATACCAGACAGGGGGTGCAGGCAGTACGATGTCCCTGGGACCATAGGGAGAAACGAGACCCATCGCGTCCCATAATTTGTATTATAATTTAAACATTTAAATAATTAATTTACTTTGTACCATTCCTTGTTGTTTTTATTTTTCAAGTTAATGTATATTCAAAATTAAAAGTCACGCGCGATTTACAGTGTGTATTATGTCACATTCTAGATACAGCGAAATTGAAAAAGGGCCAAGACCCGTTGTAAATAGACGAGCTCAGAAGGATACACTAAGTGTTATCTAAATATACCATTATAATCTACAGTAAGAAATAACATACACATAGATGACTAAAATCTTTTATAAGGGTCCGCACACATTCGTTACGGTGGCCAGTATTTTCTCTTGGCGGTCCTGATTAGACCTATTTATTCTCTGATTAGTTTCTCTACACATAAAACCCGTTTTCACGGTGCCATAAGTCATGGCATGTGCCCCACACTTGACAAGCATGACTTCGAAAGTCGAGACTGCGCGTTTACACGTTGACATCTAGTTCCACGACTTTTCGTCACGTGATACCGAAGTAGGCGCGCCAGTTTCGGTTTGAGTAGTAGCATCAAAACTATTAACAACCACAATAAAATTCTATTCAACTAAAAACAAAATAATTATAGTCCATATAATGCAAATTTGAGATATCATGATATGAGAATTCTTCAGTACTTAATTTTCAAATAGGCCTTCTTGCAAGGGGAAAAAACCATTGTTTTGTTATCATGGAAAAACTTCCATTGTAATGATCAGGACTCTAAAGAAATTGAGTGGAAATTAAAGAGAAAACCCCATGCTAAGGTACCCAGTGATTAAGACAACTTGATCAGACCAACTACAGCTTGATGAATATTTCATGGAATGACTTAATAATACTAAATTTATTCATGGTCCTTTGACTGTGGAGGTACAATTTTAACTAGATCATACATGACATTGCAATCAGAACGTGTAAATAAGTCTCAGTGAGAGTTGTATGTTACCTTATAATGTAAGTTACCTTATAATTTATTTCAATTTTATATATGATGTTTATTTGCTTAAAATTCATGAGGGAAGAGATCTTCCATAAAATAAAGACCTTTCTCACTCAGATATTTTTGTACTTCCGATTTGAATTTCGTGCCCTCCACTGGTTGTGGAGTATTAACGACTCATGTTCCTTCATTTGCAGAAACTAAAAAATTACTGTCCCCAAGTTTAAAAGAGCTTTTATATTTTAACTTCAAAGGAATCCTTTTTTCAATTTTACTCTATTACTTATAACATATTTTATATCAATATTACTAAATTTTGTAAACATTAGTTTTAATTTTTTAAATTTTTTCTAAACATTGAAATATTCAAAATAAAACCATGCAGAAAAGTTCTAAATGGTCTTAATTATAAAGAAACTTTATCATTTTCTGAGTCATGATAAACATAGAAAAAATGCTCTTCAAAATCCTGACTACTTCTCATTCAATTGGCATTTAGAATAGTACCTAAGCATCATGTTAAATTTTGAAAATTTCTGAAGATTATTTAACTATTTCACATCAAAAGTGATACTTAGGAATTATATATTTAGGTAGCCTTCTGCATTGCTATGATATTTGAATAAATACAAGTGGAAGAATACAATGTAGAATAGAAGGATGCAAAAAGTGAGCCTAGATTCTTTTACATATAAAATAAGAGAATTTGTATACAAATATGATTGATTTTTTGATTTTGAAAATAGATGTGATAATATAGATATTTTGTTTAAAATTTGGGCAGAAATCCTCATTGTTGCTTGATAAACAAGAATTGTTAACATTCATTTTCAATCTTCATCCCTGACAGTCTTGTAATCAAGCCATTGACTCAAATTCAATACATTTATGTCCAAATGCCCTAGAGTTCTCAGCCTCCTTATTTCTACGAAATGCAAGAATCTAGTATAATCAGGATATCGCAAAAAATACGACCGCATTATCTCGGTTCTTAGTGGAGAATGTTTTAAAGGATTGTGAAAGAGAAGCAAGTAATCTGGAAAAAGTGGCAAATCTCTGCAACAAAAAACTTTTCTAGGATCGCGGCTAATTTTTATTTTGTCACTTTTCTCAAAAATATTAGAGAGGCATTTCTGTACGCGAATGGAAACTTTTCCCAGACAAAACGAAGCGGCTTTCAGACTCACAACACGGTTTTAGAAAATAAAAATTACGGAAACTGCCATTTTTTTTTCTTTTCTTAAAGATCTTCATCAATGAATCAAAATGAAACTTCCATTGGAATATTTTTAGATCTTTCGAAATCTTTTGATGTTATTGACCATAACATCTCACCATCAACATAACCTTCTTATGGAATTCGTGGTATCGCCCTATATTGGATAACCTCGTGCCTTAAACATCGATCTCAAAGAGTATAAATACCGTACTGGCACGAAAGGACACTATTGACTTATCTTTCCAATTCTTTGCCAATTGAATATGGGATCCTGCAAGGTTCAATCTTAGGTCCTAATTCTCTTTCTGTTTTACGTAAATGATATGCCCTCGTCTATTAAAAATGGAAAAACGGTTCTGTGTGCCGGTTACACGAATGGTCGTTGCAAAAAAGAACCAATAAATAGTACGATTTCAGAAGTTTCAAATTGGGTTTGTAATAACAAATTAATAGTTCACGAAGGAAAAATAGTTTCAATGCAGTTTTGAACTTCAAATCAGCAATCGCATGTTCCATTGAAAATAAACAATTTGCTGATGTTAAGGCAACACAATTTTTAGGTCTCAATTCAGTCAAAGCTCAAATGGAATGTGGACATAACAGAATTAAACACTAAATTAAGTTCATTATGTTACGCATTCAGAATTATCTCAAATTCTGTCAGCCTTTATGCAGCTCGTTGCGTGTAATTTGCAAATGAGCATTCCCGCCTGAGATATGGCATAATTGTTTCTATATAATTAGGGACTAAAGTGTACGTTACCTTACAACGCATTGTCAGTCGGTTCACAAATTTAAGTTAAAAGTGAATTATTTTCTGCTGCATAACTGTTTCTATATAATTAGAGACTAAACTGATCATCAAAAAGAAAAATAATATTTATTTTAAGAAAACAGTGATATATAATGAATTAGTTTACATTTGTATTGTATAATTCTTTAAAAATACTTAATATGGATGTAACTAATACTGTACTTCCGCTTCCGGGTCAATGACCCCCATCTCGATCAGGTTTTTTTTCCATTTCCCCAGATACATTGTGCAAATGCTGAGATGGTTCCTTGTTTTGCTTCTGGACGTAAATGTAGCTTCACGATGCGCACGTTTTATTGAACTTTCCATTTGCTTGTAGTGGTAGGAGTAGAAGTACGGGCGAAATACTATTTTGTTAGCAATGCAGAAAATTAAATTTGCAGTTCGTTTACCGCTGCAAATACGTTTT